GCTTTTATGTATTCTCGAACCAAGAGACTTTTTAAAATGATTCTTTTTGGTGTGCTATCCAGTACCACATAGACTTTCAATTTCTCTATTTTGGCCTTTCTAAATTTCTCTTCAAAGGTAATTTTTAATTGCTAAACTTAAACCAAGAAAAAAATCACTTCAAGAGGTTTTAGCTATGCATAAACCTCAGTGATCACTGAGATGTGAGCCAGAGTTCAGCTGAGTACAGACAGTCGTAAACACAGTCAAAACACTTCAAGGATTACACATCTGAAAATAAAATCCAATATGTGATGTACTAGTTAGACACGGCAAGGCAAAATATAGTAAAATTGTCATTGTATATATTAAGATTTTGTTTTATTGTCCAGGTGCACCGGTTTCTGACACAGTCCAAAGACATGAGATATAGGTCAGACCCCCTAGATTTTTGTGGTTTTTCGCGATAAAAATGACTGATTTTGTGGTGGTAATTCCCAGAAATTGGCAGAGAATTTTACGATAAAAAAAATATATATAGATAATAATAATAATAATAATAATATTACATATATCTTACCAAATTAGGTAGCCTACTATGTAAAGTGTGTAATCTGACACAAGTCATAAAAATAAAGGTTCTTTATTTTAGTCTCCTGTCAAGACAAGAGCGAAAACAGATCGAAAACGTTAGGGATTAAGCCAAAAGCAGGTTGTGTAACTCTTATTTTTATGCACAAACTTACTTTTTCTCTAAGATTTCACTCACCGGAGCATTTGACATGTATCTCACATAGGAAATGTGATACCTCCCCTACCGTAAAACCTAAAACCCGGATTGCCGTAAAACTCCTCAATGGCAGGGAAGCATTTTGTCTCGTTAATTGCAGAGAAAGAGTTAAACGAAATCATTTATTAATTTCATGAACATTATAATACCAGCCATACGTGAAAAGCACAAATAATGTCCTTCAATTCGGTCATGTGCAGCGGCAATCATCCTTGAACCACTCTCTATCATTGTAAGCTGCTTGCTTTTCTGTTTATTCCATTGCTCCATTTTTAGATGTTTCCCGCGTTCTTTTGTAGTCTGAAGCGCGTCAAATGCACAAGACGCCCAATTTGCGCCACAGGATGTCTTATTGCATCTTTGCATTGACTTCACATGTAAATCACTTGCACTTCATACGCGTCTGCTTACTACACAAGCTGCAAAACATTTCCCCCAATGAGGGCACAGGTGAGACGTCATTTTTCGAGAGACACCCAAATACATCATGTGCGCTGTGTAAGCAACGTCTATAAGTCATGTAAAACAATTAAATGCAAACTGAAATAAATATATTTTGATTGTATGGTTTGGAATTTGATGTTTTACAGGAGTATTTGCTGGGTTTTGGCTGGAAGGGCATCTGCTGTGTAATAACATTTGCTGGATAAGTTGGCAGTTCATTCTGCTGTGGCGACCCCTGATTAATGAAAGGACTCGAATGAATGAATATATGTTTCACAGTGATGCATTTAAAAACGAGTGATGGAGTTAAAAATTAAGCTGATTCAATCAGAATCAATGAGAAAAGCTGCAACAACTGTTTTTATCTTTGAAATCTATATTGACATTGACTAGCTTCATTGATGGTTATCTCTACTTGTTGATCTTCTGCCAATCAGATGCATATACAAGGTTGACATCAGCATCTTCCACTTTTCACTGCGTCCTCTGTGTGAGCTGATACCACCCCCACCCAAAGTCACATTCACCGCCGTTCCGTCTGGAAGGATGTCAGGTCCATTAATCACCTGCACGAAGCCTGCAGATCTATTTGAGTGCCATTCTCCGTGCCGCTGCCACACAACGCAATCAGCTCCTCTTCCCAGAATGCAAATGTAAATGGGGGCGATGATGTATTAGCATGTGGTGGTGAAAAAAAAGTGGGTTATTTTAGAGGCCAAACAGGAGGGCCAAAATGCAGGACCGCCAATCAGATGCATCCATTTATTTCAATTTTTCCTTAATTTCAATTTTTCTCCATTCTCATAGTGTGAGCAATCTGTCATTGAGTGGTGTTGGAGAAAGGAGCCCAAGGGGGAGGTTGCACAGTTTGTTTGTGTGTGCGAGACTGATCATGGCTTTTTATCTCCTGCCTTGTTAGCCTTTGTTACTGTAGACTGACAGTGAAACCGCCTCCTTCCTTTCCTTCAGTCATTTTAATGGGACAGTTTCTACCCAATAGGCTGTGGATTTATTCTTTGCTCCAGTTCTTGATCAAATTGTGGTCATGGCCTGTTTGATGGAAAATGACAGCAGGCTCTTTAGAATGTTGTGACTTTGAAATGACGGAGTCACTCTGGATTTCTGCATTGTTTTTTTCTTAACATGTGAAGTAAAGTATACAGTTTAATGGTGAAAACATCCCTTTACAATATTAAGTGCTGACATATGATTGCTTTTTTATTAGCTGCACTGTTCATCTTCAAATGACATTTATCGGAGTTTGAAAGAGGCTTGCCCCTTTTACAAGGATCATTCTTTCCATGTGTTAAATTGATACTGCACATGTAGCTACATAAACATTACACACTGCATCTGAAACCTGGGAAATAAAAATGTAAATAGGTTAGGATATAGACATTACTTGTACTGAAATATCTACAATAATTGTTGTGCTCAGTCATGCCATATTAGTACCACAGCAACACTGTTTACTGTTTACACTATTAAAATGGCATTTTTTTTTTGTGCTTCCGTTTCTTGTATCAGCCATACTCTCATTCTGATACTTACGTTTTCCTTTTGCTAGGCTTAATAACTCATTTATGGCTTGTTTCCCCTGAGTGGTACAGTTTGAAACCGTTTCATGTTCGTTTCCACTGTCAAAACGTACCAAAAAGCGAACTGCACTGTACCACTTTTTGGGTACGCTTTCCAAAGGGTGTCTAGCACAACAAAAGGGTACAAAAAGATGGCGCCAGATTTGCAGCTGAATGCCGGGGGTTTACAGAGAAACTTCATTAGTGTGTGTACAAGCCCAGTGTATGAATACACAGCCAAGACATTACATCATAATATTATATACATATACTAACAAGCCATAGTTGACTCAAGCTCAAACAAACCTTGATGTCGTCTTGATGAACAGCCACAAAACGAAGAAGAAGAACAGAATGTGCCGTGTGTACTGTTGTTGTTTACGAGGCTGTCCAAAAGTGCGTGAGGTTTCACTTCCTTCAGAGAGCTCTCTGCGCTCAGAGACTCGCTGCGCGTCTTTATTTGAAATAACGAAATACTTGAGCTCATGATAATAATGTGTGCTTGATTATTAAAGTGATTGTGACGCGAGAGTGAAGTGCGAAAAAACAAGGGAGCAAACGATTCTTTCAGCAACCTATAACATGTACAAATTGCCATGATTAATTATTATCATCGCCTTTTGGACTGTTATGAATTCGCAGTGACAATTACTTTTAAACAAAATGTTACGTTGCATGTACTGTTGAAAAATAAAAATGAGAAGTTTATCCTGACTGCATATATTTATAATAATTTATTAACCTAAATATGGCCTAAATGGTATTTTGTTTTTGTTTTTGTACTTGGTAACATTTCAGTCTCTAAGGAACTCTGTTTTCAGAGATGTTTTATTTTATAATTTTTTCTTTATTTAATCGCAGACCCTACAGTAAGCTACTATTTTGCATTATCATTGATCTGCAGCTATAATCAAATCATGTTGATATTGATAGAAAGGTTAGTCATTAACATTTATACACAAGTTTCTGGAGCGAGAATGACGTCGACTGCAACTTTCTGTCATACACAACGCCCACCAAAGGGTACCATTGGTACTATTTGGCAGTGGAGACACGAGCCTGATCAAGCTTACCCATAAAAATAACCTAGCCACTCGTATCCAAGCCCCAACCTTAGGCCTGGCTTCAGTATGATGCTTTGGTTGCTCCATACAGGGCAACATTATGGTCCTCAATTTTATTGGACTCAAAATGGGTTTTTGAACTTTTAAACATTTTTTTCTTGGGCGACCCTACCAGGGTTATTTAGCCCCTGACCACATAGCTTCTATGATCACTTTTATGATCTTGCTCAAACCCCTCCACCATAATAAGCCGGTCGTTAAGGGCGCACCCTCAGAGATAGGCTGAGTAACTGTGTCACCTGAGGTGGCTCTGCATCTAGGATGCCTACCTAGAGAGGTGTTCCGAGCTTATCCCACCAGGACGAGACCCATGGGAAACCAGGACACGCTAGAGGGATTATGTTTCTCTGCTTGTCTGTGAATGCCTTAGGATCCCACACAGAAGCTAGACGATGTTTCTGGGGAGAGGAAAGTCTGGGTGTTTTCTTCTGAGACTTCTGCAGCCACAACCTGGCTCCGGATAAACAGTTAAATATGATGATGATGATAATGATGAGACATCATATTACAAATATTCTAAAATGTGCATTGTTATATGAAAATATTTTGCAGAGCTTCTGGCTATTATCTGTGATGCGTGGGACTCAGTCATGATGTCATAATTTTAAGGTTAATCTAGGTTTATGAATCATGCTCTCAGAGCATCTGCTGTCATCATGACAATGTGCAATTACAGTAGTGCTTTCTTGCTCAGGGGTCAAACTGTGTTATGGCAAAGGGTTAAAAGTGAATCTGTGATGAGGCAAGATGTAAATCCTGTACCGGTAATCCAGTTGTGAAGTGTTTTTTTACATTCAGACTCTGACAGATGTTTTACAATGGGATTGGCATGAATTTCAGCCTTGGGATTTGGCTATTTGGATTAAAATGTCAGGAATAAAGCCAACAAAAACCGACAACATGGAGTAACTCTAAATATTCAGGCTATTACTTTCATTTGATTAGATTTTTGTTCCGTTTTTGTGTAAAGATGATTTGTTTTCGCATTGTTGAAAGACATCTTTCCTCTACTGTCTTAATCTGTTGGCCTTTTACTTGAGACTGACATTGTCTCATATTTACATTTTTTTTTCTGTTTCTGTGCAGCTGGTTGGGGGTCAGTTTGACCTGGAGATGAACTTCATCATTCAGGAGACGGAGAGCATCATCTGTATGGTGGAACTGCTGGATAAATGTGACTCCACTTGCCAGGCAGAAGTGTGGAGTATGTTCACGGCCGTACTGAAGAAGAGCTTACGAAACCTTCAGGCCTGCACTGATATTGGCCTCATCCAGCTGGTGCTACAGCGCATAGACCGAGCTGAGACCATGATAGCAGGTGTGTAAAAAAGGATGAGATGTTTTCTAAATTAAACAGCAATTTAATTAATAAATTTAAATATAAATATATGTACTGCTTATTATAATGTTAGCAATATTATTTTAGAGTATTTATGAAAACTGAAATAGTTTTTAAACTTATATATTTAAAGCAGTAAAGTAGTTATTTTAATTCACCCTTAGTCAATCTTAAGTCGTAAACAGGCTGTACTGTTACTGAAACTGTACTGTCGGTTAGAGCTGTGAACCTACACTAGTCTCACGGTTCGATTACGATTATCATGCCATCGATTCGGTTCAATTTGATATCTCGGTGCATCACGGTGCATTGACAATGCTTTCCAAACACAGTTTTATATTTTTCTACACAGCAGCATTTGTATTAAAATGTATGAATATATTTATATTTATATATTATTTGTAATACAATTTTGTCGTTTAATACAAACAGTCAGATATATAAACTAACTTTAAACAAAATGAGCATTAAGCAAATAATATAAACAAATATAAACATCCAGCTCAATTTCTGATCCTTGTCTAGTTCTCTTACACTTTTTTGATTGGTCACACCCTCAGCAAAAACGTTTGCGATTGGCACTTGCGCGCTGCGCTCTTTAGATAAGTGACACTGATAAGCGGCAGGCGGCAGTGGCGATCTCACAGCTGATGTATGATAGACACGGTGGAGAAAACTCTGCAGACACGCGCTCGTTTCTGTATCCAAATGTAATGCTGTAAAACAGCCGAGAGGAGAAGAAAAGCCACCCCAGCAGGTCAAATGGGCCACTGTGTTTGTGTGTGTGAGAAAGAGAGAGAGACAGAGCGAAAGCGAGAGAGAGAGAAAGAGAGAAATGGAGTAGGCTACTTTCATTCTCTCAATCTCAGTGAAATAGGGGCTTTTGTTGTATTTGTCAGTGAAAGACTGATCCAGCAAACACACACAGTAAAATTGTGCACAGTTTATGAGTTTTAAGTAGTTAAAGCGCTGTAAATACTCACGATCGCCTCCCTCGTGACAAAGCGCATATGAGATAAATGACGTCAGTAATAACTGGTTATGATTATTACTGAACCGATACCGAATTGTCCGCGTCTGCATCGCGGTGCACCGAAGAAACTATTAATTTTGACACCCCTACTGTCGGTTAAGTGGTTACCAAATACTACAGTCAGCCGCTCTAACAACTTGATGGAAACACTTAATTTCCATTTGTGATTTTTTTTAACTATTGTTTTTATTATCATTATTTGCAAACTTTGAAAACATTTGCTTCATGTTAGGATGGAAACCTGGCCATTCTTAGCAATTCATACAGCCTAACCGCATGAAACGAACTCTTGGAGACTCTATTTACTGTACATGATACTTGTAATGATAAAAATAAACTAATCTAAAATGCTTTAAATAATAATACTAATAAAACTAAATAAATGTAGTGATTTCAATTATATTCACATTTATTATTAATGAAAAAATTGTAAATAAACTGAAATTATCACCACTTTATAGTTTATCTCAGATCCTAAAAAAGTAAATAGCATACACTTTATACATTACTAGCATATAGTTTATACATTAAACAAATTCTATTCCTTATGCCTCATTCACACTAGCAACGACTTTGTAGCTGCTTGTCGCTCTGGGTGGCGACCTGCTGCAAACGCAGGTCTTTGTAAGTCTACATCATGGAGAACACAACCAGCCTCTGTATGAGCTGAGAAAAGATCACGTGAACTCTACTGGTGCATCAATTGGCTGTCGCTCAAGCAAGCCGCTCTTCATTTGCATAGACTTAAAGGATTCTCAAGTTTGTCGACTCACTCGTCACACCCACCTGGTTGCCAACGGACACTGTTGCTCGCATAGATGGAGGTCGCTCACTCTGCATTGAAATGAACGTTTGTCGCTTTGTTGTGGCAAGTCGCTCGTAGTGTGAATGAGGCTTAAGCCCATCCACTTTCCCATACCCCTCCATTTAAGTGCGTTCATTTGAAGATGTATGGCGGTCTTGATTATTTTTTGCTAGGAGGCGTAAGGGTGAGTTGTAGGGCCATAAAGCCCTTCAAAATGCCTTTCAAGCCTTAAAAATGAAATGGTATGAGAATTTCCAATGAGAATAAGCAATCAAGGAGAACCATAAATGTAAATAAGGCATTAATAAGAATTTTTAACAAAAACAATGATCGATTTTTACAATTTATCAAAGCAACATTTTAAAAACCGTTACATTTTCTTAATGATAGTCACTTATAGTATTACAATACAATATTTTAAATTCTGATAACTTCACAAAATGGATGACTTAAGAGAACAGGCCAGTCTGATCAGAAAAGACTAGTGACAGTGAATATGTTTTTTACAGCACGTCTGGGATAACGTTAGGGTTGTTTTCGTCTGGTTACATCCATGAATATGAGCACTATGTAAGTACACAGTACAGTTTTGTGCTTCTCGCAACAACATCCATCAGTCGTAACAGGGATGCCTGAGGAAACCCGGAGGCTTAAACTTGACTGCCTTCTGGAATGACTATGGCAGACGACATCTTGTTTGACGTATGAGATGAGCAGCAACATATGATGACGCATACGGGTGTTGTAGCAGTCATACAGGGAATATCTTCATCCCTACACCTTTACTGTTCTTCAAAGGAAAGGGTTATGAAATAGAACTGGCATTGGGGCTAACAATTCAAGTCACCCATGTACTTTTTAAAACTTTGAGCTTTAAATATTTATTAATAACATTATCAACCTTCTAAAGGACTTTTGTATTTATACTAGTCTGTGGCATGGTATCATTTTAACTATACATTGGGAGAAATAAAATCGACATGAATATTCAACATATCCACCCAGCGCTCTACACTGCATTGTAACATTTTCCTAGTGCTTAGATTATATGCGTAATTATGAGTCGTGACGCTCTCCACGAGGCTGATGAGTTTCTATCATTGCTCAGTCAGCATGTAGTTCATCCTGGCAGCACTGTCACACAGCAGAGCTCAGAGTCAGACAGGGCTAATCAGCCACAATGCTCAGTTTGGCATGCCAGAGCCTTCCAAATATTGATTTTACATTACTGTTTAAAAAAAAGTTTGAGTGTATGCAACTGTTTAAATCTCAATGTTACTGGACCATGATGAAGCCTAAATGCAACTTGATCACAGGTGCAATTCTGCCTCTTTAACAGAACAGATTTGCTTGTCCTCAATGCTTTAGCACATGTTGTAAAAGGTGTAGCACATGCAAACCATCACGAGTATAGAAGAAAACATAGCATAATAGAGTCAACATTTAAAAACAACAACAAGTTTAAACATTTAAAAAAAATTTTTTTTATCAATATTATCATCCTTTTACACTTTTTTATCAGTCCAAGATAACTAAGCATGCGCGTTTGATTAATCAGTGGAAGATCTTCTCTTGCCCTACACATTTCAAACTGCTCATTGTGCATGTGCTCATTGTGCATGTACAAGGGACTGTCAACAACACTTCCTCAGACAGTTTCTCAGGCTCTGCAGAGACCCAAAGAGATGTTCTTTATTTGAGCGTAAAAATGCATCCCCGTGTTCCTAAATCCCCTAAAATATCCGGGAGTTGACTTTTGCTTTTACTTTGTTGTTAATTGTATGCATTTTTACATTACTCTTTTATTAAAGACTTGGCTTCACAGCTGACAGTGCGTACAGCCTCTAGACCGAGAGAAAAAGTAATTAGTAGATTCTTTAATCTAAACAATTCATAAACTTTTCCCAGTGATGGGTTGCGGTTGGAAGGGCATCCGCTGCGTAAAAACGTGCTGGATTAGTTGGCGGTTCATTTCGCTGTGGCGACCCCAGATTAATAAAGGGACTAAGCCAAAAAGAAAATGAATAAATAAATGATTCAAAAACCTTACTATATTAGGGGGACGAAATAACATCTAAACTGAATGCAAAATGTACATCATTAGAAATGTTTAATCAACTAATTTGCCTTATTTAAATAATCTACTCTTTTTATTTTAATTATTAAATAATCATTAATAAAAATGTAATTTAGAGTAATTGTCTCTATTTGATTGTCATAAAAATAAGAGAAATAGAGTATCTTTTTTATTTCTACAGACTTTTTAAAAACTTTGACCCATTGAAAAGAAACAGTGTATAACAGTGTCATAATAGATTGTTAAAAATATTGCTAAAAAACACATACATTTTGTGTCAGTTTTGTGCCCTGGGTAATAAATGTGTTTCAATCTGGCTACCACCGCAAGTATATTTCAAACCTGTGGGAAGCACTGATATAATAATATAGTGTTTATAGTTGGAAGTTTTCTATAGTATAATAAAGAATGAGAGTATCGTTAGTCTGCATCTTGTATCACTTGCTGAAAGATGTTTGGTTTTGTGGTGATGCAGCTTTGAAAAAAAGTTTAAAGAAACCATAAAAGAAGTTGTGGTGGTTTTCACTACAAATGTCTTTGTAAATATTTTATTAGTAGTAGGTTTAACGGTGACAATGCAGTATAACATTGCTACAGTTTAAAAAACTGATGCTCTGAATATAGGCTTCTAGCCAAAGTCCCTGGTTAGGCTTTTTAAAACACTAAAGCAGTACAAATGCCTTTATAATATGCATATAAGAATATACTTTACCAAATTACCAATACATAAAAAGTAATAATCATAATCATGATAGTCGCACTTAATATTAAGTGGCCCTAAGTACTAGGTACTTACATCAAAAAATAAATACAATGTACTTGATGTGCTCATAATGTATTGTAGAACACTTCTGGTGCTCTTGAGGTGGGATACGGGTAGCATTAGGGGCTGCTTTAGTGGAATGGGTAGGTTTTGTGGGTGGGTTAAAGTGTAAGGTGTGGTCCACAATGTTATGATAAATGTAATTAAATAAATTAATTACAGATATAATTACATGCAGGTTGTTTACCAAGCATGTCAAAACATGTATTTTACGCATTAAGTACATGGTAACAAATTATTAATTTTAATGTGAGTACATATAAGTTAAGGTCACTTGTTATAAAGTGGGACTAGGCATGGGCTGGTATAAGATTCTGACGATATGATAACCTTGCATAACAATATCACTGTTTTACAGTTTTGTGATTACTGCTCTAAAGTATATTCTTTTTAAATGTCTGAGTAAAAAACAAACATTTCCCCCTTTTAACACAATACATTTGATTTTGAGAAACTTTTATAATATTTTGGAGCAGTGAACATGTTAGGCTCTATAATTGAAATGAATCATTGACTTTTGCCATCTTTATTAGTTTCTAAAACACAGATTTATTTACAGTTTAAAATGGCATCTTTTCTGCTGGAGATACTGTCTTCCTAAAACTAGAAAAAAGTAAATAAAAAAATCTTACATATACCATAGGAACAGTATAGCAGAAAATTTTGGTGGTTTTGAAACCTTTTCCAATCCCTGTCATACCTTGAAAACAATATTGTCCCATGCCTAAGTGGGACCATAATTATTCAATGTAATATTCTATTAGAGTTTAATGTGCAACTAGAAGGCAAAAAATGACCAGTAGAGATCCAAAGGACATTTATAGTTTCTATTACATCCAATACAGTTTCTAGCATAACAGGGCATAAATAGTTAGGAATACAGACTGAATTCAGTAGCTGTCTGTAAATCCAAAGTCTCCTATAAATATCACTTCAAATTTTCTGTAAAAGTCACTTCATATTACTTGAAATGTAAGCATTCATCTTGTGTTTATGTGTGTGTAAATGATATGTTTTCAGATCTGATGGTGGACATGCTTGGAGTTTTGGCCAGCTACAGCATCACAGTGAAGGAACTGAAGCTGTATTTCAGTAAGCTGAAGGGAGAACAAGGCCAATGGGTAATCGTTTTTTTCTTTCCTACTCACGAAGACATTATTGCCAAGAAATACTGTATTTTCTGAAACATAAGTTCCTTTTTAAATCATCTGAAATGTGCTGTGACTCCAAAGCAACTTATATAACGCTACATCAAGCGAGCAAAACATGCTCAAAGGCCACACATTTAGATTTGTGCCGACTGAGAGACACGCATTCATTCGTGCAGTGCATCTCTCCATATGCCATTAGTTTTACTTTAAATACATTTTAGTCTTGATGTTTATAGTGGATGACACTATCATTTCTGTTTTCTTTTGTTTTTCTTTTCTCAGTACTGTTAAATTTAAATTGGAAAAAAGTGGGGTGTGAGAACCAAAATACATTTATTTACAATGTGTTATAAAAGCAAATATAATTTGAGGACACCGGTAGCCTTGTTTTACATAATTTCTGAATATAACTTTGATAAAATATGCACAGATAATATACTTTTTTCTTTAAACAGTTTTGATAGAATACACATGTTTCTCTTTTTTCATTGCATGCTCTGAATAAAACACTTTTTTAGCATTTTATACAGTGCATCCGGAAAGTATTCATAGCGATTGCCTTTTTTCACATTTTCATGTTACAGCCTTATTCCTAAATGAATTAAATTAGTTTATTTCCTCAAAATTCTACACACAATACCCCATAAATACAATGTGAAAAAAAGTTTTCTTTGAAATTGTTGAAAATGTATTAAAAACGAAAACCTAAAAAATCACATGTACATAAGTATTTACAGCCTTTGCCGTGAAGCTCTAAATTGAGCTCAGATACATTCTGTTTCCTCTCATCATTCTTGATGTTTCAGCAGCTTAATTGGAGTTAAATTCAGTTGATTGGACATGATTTAAAAAGGCGTACACCTGTCTGTATAAGGTCCCAGGGTTGACAGTGCATGTCAAAGCACAAACCAAGCATGAAGACAAAGGAATTGCCTGTAGACCTCCAAGGCAGAATTGTCTCGAGGCACAAGACTGGGGAAGAATACAGAAAAGGTTCTGCTGCTCTGAAAGTTCCAATAAGCACAGTGGCCATAAGTGGAATATGTTTGGAACCACCAAGTCTCTTCCTAAAGCTGGCTAGACATCTTAGCTGAGTGATCGAGGGAGAAGTGCCTTAGTCAGGGGGGTGATCAATAACCTGATGGTCACTCTGTCTGCCTGTATGATAGAGTGGCCAGAGGGAAGCCACTTCCCACCTGGAATTTGCCAAAAGGCATCTGAAGGACTCTAATACCATGAGAAACAAAATTCTCTGGTCTGATGAGACTACATGTTTAACTCCTAGGAGTGAATGCCAGGCGTTGCATTTTAGAAAACCAGGCACTGCTCATCACCAGGCTAATACCATCCCTACAGTGAAGCATGGTGGTGGCAGCATCATGCTGTGGGGATGTTTTTCAGCTGCAGGAACTGGAAGACTAGTCAGGATGAAGAGCAAGATGAATGCAGCAACGTACAGAAACATCCTGAATGAAAACCTGCTTCAGAGTGCTCTTGACCTTAGACTGGGGCGATGGTTCATCTTCCAGCAAGACAATGACCCAAAGCACACCGCCAAAATATCAATGGAGTGGCTTCACAATAACTCAGTGAATGTCCTTGAGTGGCCCAGCCAGAGCCCAGTACTAAATCCTATTAAACATCTTTGGAGAGACCTGAAAAAGGCTGTTCACCGTCACTTCCCATCCAACCTGATTGAGAGCTTGAGAGGCACTGCAAAGAGAAATGAGCAAAAATTCCCAAAGACAGGTTCATAAAGACTTGAGGCTGTAATTGCTGCCAAAGGTGCATCAACAAAGTATTGAGCATAGCTGTGAATACTTCTGTACATGTGATTTTTCAGATTTCTTTTGTTTTTTAATAAATTTAAAACCATTTATAAAAATCTTTTTTTTATTTTATTTTTATACAATGTCTGTATGTTATTTCTAGGAAATAAATGAATTTAATCCATTTTGAAATAAGGCTGTAACATAAAAAATGTGGAAAAGTGAAGCGCTATGAATACTTTACGGATCCAATGTATATAAGAAACATTGCACAACATTTTATTTAATGTTTCTTGTTTTATTCTAAGAGTTTCTTTAGACTTTTGTCCTTAGGCAAGGCAGATGTTGAAACAGTACAAAGATGTTTGACAGATTATCTTGTTTTTCTGAGGCAGTGTTGTTGATCAGAGCATGCAATAAACACCTGAGGAGCAATAGGAGTTCACACATCCATGTGTCTGTATCATGTAACCTAAAGGCAGGAACTTTTTTTAAGCAACTTTCTTGTCTGATGTACACATTATTAGAGCAGCAAATACAGTTGAAGACAAAATTATTAGCCCTACTGTAAAATTAATGTTTAACAGAGCATGGACATTTTTGATAGGATTTTATATAAACTTTTCTCCTGAAGAAAGTTTTATTTCTTTATTTGTAATTTATTTTTATTGTTTTATTTGTTTAAATTGTTTTGCCAAATAGTTAAACCTTTAAATAGCACTTTCAAGTGTTAGTTCAACCAAAAACTGATGCTTGTGTTATTCCTAGTCCCTGAGACTTTTATTAATAATATAATTGTAATTTTTAAACTAACTAACTCCATAAGCTAAAATTTAATAACTTGTAAAATAACTAGATAAATAGTATATACTGTCATCATAGCAAAGACAAACAAGCAAAATAAGTTTGTCATTAGACATTAGTAGGGCTGTAACGAATTATGGTTGATCTGTGATTCATATGGATCACAACCCACAGTTTGGAACACATGAATATGAATGAATAAATTTGAATTGAATGAATAAATTAATAAAAATGAATAAAATGAATAAAATTTTACTTGTAGACAAATCCTAAATTTGTTACTATCGCCAAGAGATTGCCTCTTGCGTCATTCAAATCACATGTATGAAAGTGTTTAGGCTTACCTGTAAAATATAATGATGACGGAAGAAGTCGTGATAGGTTATTCGGGATGTGGAGGGTTTCTTTGGTGTTTTCAATCATTACTTGTTTAGCTTGCATTTATGCATTCAGTGTAAGCTGCACGATTAATCATTAAAAGATCAGGATCTCAACAGCCACGTAACAAATTATAAATGATGGTGATTTGCATACGTTTATTAATCCTTCAAACAACTGCATTCTTTGTTTGAAAAACACAAAAATCAAGAAAGATTTAGTTTTTAGGCTTTTGAGTTAGTTATGAAGTTACAAACAGTCAAATAACACAGAAGTATTGGGATAACATTGAATTAGTTTACATAAAGTACGGTGGATGGGAAGTGCAAAACAACATTACAAAGTGTGAAACACTTTTACAAAGCTTGAGACAAATTTACATTTTGAAAAACATTTTTACCTATCATCAGACACAATTACATAGGAAAAACAATTTTACCAAGGACGAAACAAATTTAAATTTTAGAAAAAAATTAACAAGACGCAAAACACTTTTACAAGTCCCGAAACAAATTTACAATTACAGATTCCTTACGGAAAGGGAATGTACCACATACCGTGAGTGACGTGGAATGTACAACACCGGGAGTGACCCGGAATGTAACACACTTACAGTTCGTGTGTGACTTTGTAGACAGGTTTCAACGAGTCTACAACTATAAAAATCATGGTTTGACCAACTGCGATAAGACAAATTAGAGCTATTCTGAGAAAATATCAGTGTGAGAGTATGTAGAAACATGTAAATGCAAGTTCATGGAAACAATCAAAGCACGGCATATTTCTAGGCACTGGATTTTCTAGGAATATTTATGATTGTCTTCAGTAGACCTATAGAACGATATTGATGCATCCTGAAGTAAAGTGAAACGGCTATACACTCCAGCAAGATAAAGTCATTGTATGCAGAACCACAGACCTTTATCTATAAATAAAGTATAATTATGGAAACTGTGTTCATCATAACTGAAAGCTACGTCTTGTTTGTCGGTCTCGTTTATCACACACCTGTCAGCCAGTCAGTATGTCACCTTCAAGGGTTAAACAAATAACTCACAGCACTACTACAATTGCAGAAAGGTTTGCTCTGTTATAATTCACATACCTTTTAATGTGTTTTGGTGCCATTATAACCTGCTATTAAAAAAAAAAAAAAACTGAATGTTTTGAATGAAGCTGTATTGTAGCCGTGGCGGGAATGAATTTTGGTGAGGCGCCCTGCCATAAAAAACTGAATGTAGCGGAAACCATGTCTTTTGTTAGGAAATGTGTTTAGCTCAGTAAATTCAGAAATCAAATTTTATTTGACACACCATGAGTAGATTTTAAGCTAAATGATTTGTGCCTACAGTATGCTATCTGAATACAGCTGAAGTATCTTTTATGTGTAGTATGTGTACAGGACAATACTGAAACATCAAGCTATAACAAGCATTTATTCTTGCGACTATCTGTGCCATTTTTCTTTTTTCTTTGTTCAAGGTGTCTAAAAACAGCTTTTTTTCTCCCTCTCTCTATCTATTAGCCACCTCACGCTGTCAAGCTGCTGTCTGTGTTGAAGTCCATGGCTCAAAGAAATGGCCCAGATTCCTTTTTCAGCTTCCCAGGGAAGAGTGCTGCGGTAAGACCCTGACCCAAACATCAGTCTGACTGCGCTGGCTTTAAGTCTCTGTAAACTGTGAACATAATTATTGTTGTTTTTCAGCAAAGGGAACTTTTGTGTTCCCCATAGTGATTTGAACTATACATGCCAGAATTCCTTGTCCTCTGCTAAGTTGTTTAACTTCCTCTCTATAATAACCTTATTATGCTGTGCACTTTTTGATTAATGTTCTACAATTTCCCTTTCTTTTTAAGAGAACACTTAACAGAGTGGTTTGCGGCTTCAGTATATCTTCTCCCAATCTTTCACTTAATTACCCAGACATTCCTTTAGTCATGTGATAGATAGAAGTTTACCGGAATGAATAACATCCCCAGGAAACTTTAACTACTTTCTAGAGCAAAGATAATAAAGTTTTTTGATTTAGAGTAGCTGAACAATTCACTGAATGCTGATCTTCTTTTTGCAATGGAATGCAGAGTAAATGAAACTTTTATTTTTAGTTTAAATTAAAACACTTTGTAGTCTTTTAAAAATAAGAAACTGCTAAATGTTTAGGATATATTTGTTGACATCCTATCTGTTTTATTGCAGACACTGATGTGCATTTGAGTTTTTTTGTGTACTGAGGATGACAGTAGCTTCTATAATTTTCTAATATTAAATGTTGCCATAGATGTTGACAGATATTTGATATATATATCATATACATTATATGTCGTTGCTAAAAACACCATTGGGACACACATATTTCACAAAAAAGTGAAAATTGGTTGTTTTTACATTATTTCGAGCAAATTCGTTCTTACTGTTTGAAAATAAATTTTAAGCTACCTTACAGCCATGTATATTCTTGTGTAAATTCCAGCGTAGAGACTAGATGTCTGTACCGGCAGGTACAATTTGACGTCTTTGAGTTTTTATCATTAGTTCATAAACTGGAAGCGTTTTTTTTTTTTTTTTTTTTTGTATTGTGACGCCGAAACGGAATAATATACAGTGTGCGTGTCTTGCTTTTTCTACTGCAAGCTCAATGGATGTAGTAAAGTAGGCATTTCATTCAGGAAACTGATTTCAGAAGAGTTCTTACAGCCTAACGTAAATGTCCTCAGATTTCTGTTTGTTGTCAAAACTGACAGTTGGAGGGGCATGGATTAGTGTGTTAACCACACCCAATACCTAAGACATGCATAATTTGGCAATTTAACTGAAAAAAAAAAGCAAAAACAAAGTGCAAATTTAGATTTCAATTAATGATTACAAGGACAAACTAATTTTTATCTTAATGATATACACAGATAAACCATAAAACTAGCAATGTGAGCTAACAAAATCATATGGTTAGTTTTGATTTCATTTGTACTGCCTTTCTCTTAGCTGTGTCTCATTTCAGAGGCTGCATCCTTCGAAGGATGCATTCGAAGTGCGCTGCGTTATCGCGCTGCGACAAAGGCTGTCTCATTTCAAAAACATTCGAAGGCTCCTTCAAATGCAGCCTCCAAATGCGTCCTTCGTTTCCCAGGTAATGAAGGATACAACCGGTGGATCCTTCACAGCCTCAAACGTCCCAAGATTCATTGTGTGCTGATGACAGCAGGGCGCTTTTAAAAGAAAACTCTGGTTTAAATTAAGTTTCTTTTACTTGGATATCTAAACTCGTGTTAAAGAACAAATAAGTATGACAGGTCTTACTAAAGAGGGATTTTATAGACAGTTTTCCATTTTATGTGTACATGTGTGGATAAAAGGAAATATATTTCCAGCTTTTGTATACTTTGTTTTGCCTTTAGATAGCTTAAAATAAGTTTTATTGTAAGTCACTTTGAAAAAAGTCATTACAGTTTTTTATTAGTGCTTATTAACAGCTGCTGTTACGGTTGCCTGGTGACTAGATCCATCCTCTCTTTGCTAGATCATCTTATTTCAAAACACTCGGTTCAGCCTGTTTGGACTTCCAAGGACTCACCTTTGATGTTTGCATCCTACAGAGGATGCAGCCTTTGAAATGAGACACAGCTTTTGCGTGTTTTTGCATGTTTTGGTTTAAAATCACTTACCATCATGTCAGCTTGGTGGCTGTTATTATGGGTGAATTCCAATGAACATCCCAATGTCCTACTCTTTATGAATGGCACAAACAACTAAATGTCCCCTTCTTTAATGGACTTCTTGATGGGCCCATCAAAAAAGCAGTATTTCTTTCTCATACTTTACATTCTGTGTCCCTACATATGGTGTCCTTTTCCCAAAGCACCCTTTAAGGGGATGATAAAAGCATTTTGGATTTTTTTAAAGGGCGTGTTCATAGAACCCTTTCTGTGTTGTCAGTGTCCAGTTGAAAGTTCACCAAAATTTTTGTTTTCTCAGGATGTACTTAGATTGGATGTTGCTTAGATCTTATTAAAGCAGAAAGAGGATGCTAGAAGAAAATAACACTGATTGCTGTTTTATCCATAACCCACAAACATGACAGGATGTTTTCAACCGTTGTGGACTCTCGCTAAGGACATTGTTTTCCTCGTTTGTCCTGCTCAAATGCTAAATTCTTTAGGCTACACTATTTATTATGGATGCACTGAAATGAAGATTCTGGGTCAAACTGAAAATTCTGTGTAATAATTGATTATTTTTTCTTAAATAATATAAAGTTATTTTGTACGACTTTAACTCAATAACTTAAATTATTCTGGTTTAAAAATCAAGTCAAAGCAATCTTTTATTGACGATGAATGAGTCAACAATGTAGTACGTCATAGCTTTACCCACTCATGTTTTTCAAATTTTGTGGAGGTTTTCCCTTTGCACTCTTGATCTGCAGCAAATTTTTGGAAATCGAAAACCAAAATTGTCATTTTCGCATGATCACCTTATTTCTTTCGTATATTATTTATCTAAAACAGAATGACAGAAAATAATCCAACTTATTTTTTTCTCTCGTTTGTTTATACACCTACAGGCCATTGCTCTTCCTCCTATTGCAAAGTGGCCATACCAGAATGGCTTCACCTTCCACACCTGGCTGCGTCTGGACCCCATCAATAACATAAACGTTGACAAGGACAAGCCTTATCTCTACTGGTGGGTCACGCATAAACACTGATCACACAGTCCAATGATGTCAAATAAAACACCTTTACTGAAGAGGCTTGTATCTGAGAACCAGACACATAGAGAAAGATTAGCTGAGCGTTTCTTGTTTGACAGGTACTCTATGTTGATTGTCAGCTTTTAAAAAAAAGTGTTGATAGTTGGTCAGTAAGAATGCTAAGAAGGATGACTGTTTTCCACTTTTTCCATCTATGCTTCTCAAGGGCAGCATTTCACAGCCTTGTCCTATATTCAGCTTATAATTAATTCTGTCAAAAATGTAATTTATGCAAATGGAGCTATTTTGACTCGCCAAATGATAATTGACCCTGCAGAAATAACTGTAGGATGTCTGTAGGAATCTTCTGAGCTAATAAGCTGACAGTACAGGCATTCTTTCATATAGGATTTTAAATTTTGAGTAATAGAGTAACAAGGATCTGAAGAATAATTATACAGCATAGGCACATACTGTACTACGTAGTAATGTAAATGTCTGTCTTTAGTTATCACACCACAAAAACTGATATAATAACATTAAACTATTTTAAACTCAGGTTTAGGTAGTTGATTACAACATTTAATGTGATATGTTCATACTATTTTGCAGTTTAACAATTAAAAACTGACATTTTAAAAATTCATACATTAACGGGTTAAATCTGCAGCTACTCTTTCTTTTTCAAGTAGAGCTGTGCAAGTTTAAGCACCCTTTATTTGAAATTGAACCTGTATTTAATTGAGGTCTGCATTTTCTCTCATCTCCAGCTTCCGCACCAACAAAGGTTTGGGCTACTCTGCACACTTTGTGGGTGGATGTCTGATAGTGACCTCTCTAAAATCCAAAGCCAAAGGCTTCCAGCACTGTGTGAAATATGACTTCAAACCCCAGAAGGTATGAGTCACTTTTTATCTGCTTACCCTGTACTCTTTTCATGTACTTTTGCTAAATTTTTATCTCTATCTATACAGTTTAAAAGATAGCAAAATTGACATAAAAGAAGGAGGATCTGTGTCATGTCTGAGCATTTGCAAGAAGAAAGCAGATCCTTTTTCCTGCTCGGATCCCACATGACCCCTTGAATGGACAAGCGTCCTCAGTTTACACCTTAAGACTAAAACTGGGCAATCACAGTGAAGGATGATCCAATGAGACATGCAGTCTTTCACCTATTCACAAATGCACACGGATACAGTACATTTGAAATTTACAATTAAAGTCAGAATTATTAGCCCTCCTGAATTATTAGCCCCCCTGTATATTTTTTTCCTCAATTTCTGTTTAACTGAAAGAACATTTTTTCAACACATTTCTTAACATAATAGTTTGAATAGCTTCTGTAATTTCTAATAACTGATTTCTGTTATCTTTGCCATGGTGACAGTACATGCTATTACAAGATATGTTTCAAGATATTAGTATTTAGCATAAAGTGCATTTTAATATGTAGGTTAATTATGTTAATTAGACAAGTTAGGTGAAATAAGCAACTTATTGTATAACAGTGGTTTGATTTGTAAGCAATCGAAAAAAAATATTGCTTAAGGGGGCTGATAATATTGACCTTAAAATGGTTAAAAAACTGCTTTTATTGTAGCTGAAATGAAGCAAATAAAACTTTAAGAAGAAAAAATGTTATAGGAAATACTGTGAACAGTTTCTTGCTCTGTTAAAAATCAGGAAATGTTTGAAAAAGAAAAGAAATATCGTAGGGAGGCTGATCACTCTGACTTCAATTGTATGTATTCATTTGCATCAATGGACAGGCCTTTCCGGGATTATCAGGAAGTGTTGTACTTATAGGGCTAATTATACTGAAATTCATATTTAATATATAAAGAAATCCACAAGTACTCTAAAAAAAGCTTATGTAGGTTGTATTTGGCCTATATTTAGAATCCATTTCATTCCCCCTGGAGATGTCGTGCCTCAGGGATAAGCACCTTTTCTCACCACTTGATGGAGATTTAAAAAGATCTGCGTGAGACCATTACTGGAGGGTAGAAATGGACCACTGTCTTGTATCTGTAGCAAAGTTAAACACACAAGTTATATAATTGCTTATTTCTGTCAACCAAAGGTATTCAAACTAAGGTAAAGGGACTACATTAGTATATATTTCTAAATAAATCTGCAATATCAAATATGGCTTTCCTCCATTTAAAAAAAAAGCAAAGTACAGTGACAATGCAAAATTTTATTACCTAATATACTGATATTATATATGATATACATGCTGTCCGTTCTAATTGTTTTCCACCACAGTGGTATATGGTGACCATAGTGCACATTTATAATCGTTGGAAGAACAGTGAAATCAGCTGCTATGTCAACGGAGAGCTGGCGTCATATGGCGAAATCACCTGGTTCGTCAACACAAGTGATGTAAGTGCTCTCTGTTATCTCTCATTCTACTGGCTTTTAACAGCAGAAAAAAAAGCTTGAGGCCCTGCTTTCTTCTCCAGTAGTGTTTCACTTCAAAGCTTGTCAATATTTTGCCAGGTACAAAATCCAAAATACCCACAAACTTTAAAAGATGAAGCGAAGCAGCTTTCAGTTGTTAAACTTAAAAGTTAATTTTGTTTTCAACTTGCTTTGACAGCTGAGCAACAGCAGTACAGTTAAAAAAAATACATTTGATGACATTAAATGTGATTATTTAACCATGTGCTGTTCTTTTTAAACACTAGCCCCTTTCACACATCGATACCGCTAAGTATCTGGAAAATTACTGTAACGAATTTACCGGTAAATTAAAAAAGCTTGTTTCACATAGGCAAGAACGTTCTGGATTTTTTTCCAGAAAAAAACGTTTACATATCCATTCCAAAATTCTGGTAAATTCTGACATCATTAACCAGAAATTATCTCTAATTGTCTGAACTTGTATTTGTAAACATAGAAGCTGTTGGGCATTTGTTAATTGTTTCACTTTTATTTAAAGCTTTAGCATTCACGCAGCTGCTTTTGTCTCAGAGAAAAAAAATAAGCATGGTAGAAGCACGAACTGCAGCTAAATGTTTACACATTTGACTATGTTACAAATTCTGTGGATGGATCAGTATTGTGAACAACTTATATGAAAACATACGTAGGAACACTTTCGCATGTCGAGATGTACATAATATGTGTGTGTGCTGGTGCTCACCGGCTCCTTCACGTGCACACGCGTCAAGAAACAAAATCAGCGCTTAAAGGTAAACAAACAGTGTTTTATCATAAGCATTTTATCGATAATTTTTACACAGTTGGCATAAAAAAAACATAGAAACGTGATCTGATAAACATCTAACAGCTAAATGTTTTATTTTCATAAACAGCGCGGATGTGAAAGAGTCTAAATGCTCTGATTGGCTGGAATAGATGTCGCACGTCAGTGCGTTCTAGACGTGAACGGACTCTTTCAGGCTATTTTTCTTCTGCATTCACAGTGCAGCATTCTGACAAATTACCGGTTTTGTTACAACTTCTCTTTCTGGAAAATTGCCGGAACGAATTTACCAGTATTTTCAAAAAGGGCCTGTTCACACATGATCCCTTTCCGGAAAAGTGACGGTAATTTTCCGGAAAGGTCTGTATGTGTGAAAGGGGCTACTGTGAGGTCCTAAATCTGAAAAGTATTGCTCTTGTATTATATGTCTTTGTATGAATATTGCTCTTCAGACATGGGAATATTAGCATTTGTGTAAAATAACTGTTATTAATTAGGCAAGGTAATGGTAATGGTACACACAATGCTAATTCAAAGTTCGGTAACAGTTTATTTTGATGGTTTATTTGAGTATCAGTAAGTTGTCTGCTTAATATCTGTTGATATGCGCCTTCAACAGACATTTTAACTGACTTTAAGAAACTTTGCAAGTACATGCCAACTTATACTAATCCCAACCTAACTACTTAGAATCCAATGAGAATGAGTTGGCATGTAAATGTAACTTAAATTCAACAAACGGACTATCAAAATAGTCTGATAAAGTCTGCTTTACATAAACAGGAATAAAAGAAACAAGAAAATAAAAACAACAAAGAGATAAAAATTATTAAAACAGATTAAAATGTGTTAAAACAAGTTTTAAGGGAATGATAAAGAAAATGAAAGACATAATAATCCGATCTATCGGAAGTAGCACAGTGTAGCGCTGACATTTCATGTTGTATGCTTGAATCTATTTCCATGCAAAGATTCACATGCTACTAACAACAGTGCTCATTCAGTAAAAGGACATTCATTAGCTATTCTGCAAACTAAGGACATTGTAATACTACACTTGCTGGGTTGTTTTAACCCAATGCTGGGTCAGATATGGACAAACCCAATCTTGGGTTAATTTAATTAAATATAATAAAATTTTTCTAACAAACTGTTGGATTTGTTCATATTTAACCCAGCATTAAATTAAAACAACCCTACATGTTTTAGAGTGTATGTTGATGTGTTGCATACAGTAATGTATTATTTGGTGTATGTCTATACCAAGGGTCACCAACCTTTTGGAAACTGAGAGCTACTTCTTGGGTACCGATTAGTGTGAAGGGCTACCAGTTATTAAAAAACACATTTTCTTAATTTAAATTTTAAAACTTTTATTTATATGTTATTATTAATAACGTAACAGGGTTCAGAAAAAAAAACAAAAAAAAAAACAGTGTGAACACAAACTGGCATAGAAGGTGACAAGGGGGGACAAACGAACTTGAGTTCGGACCAGGCAATTAAACCAAGTGTGAAAGCACCCTGAAAACTTCTATTCATTATTGAAAAAGAGTCTTTAGGGGAAAAAGTAATATCTGCTGACAATTTGGATGTGTCAGATTAATGTATTTTAAATACATTTTAAAATAGTTTAAAATGTAATGCAGTTGTTTTATCTTGCAATCAGAATAATAATTGCTGTGTGGTATTTTTTTGTTAATTTTAATGCAACCTTTTTTGACACACAAATGAATGTTTACTGACTCTGAGTATTTAAATGGCATTATACCTTTGCAATTTTTATAAACATCCAGACAATAACCAAAAGAAACCAAAAAAAAAAAAAACTAAGCAAACTTTGTTTCCTGTTGTTCTTCACAGACGTTCGACAAGTGTTTTCTGGGTTCATCAGAGACAGCAGATGCTAACCGTGTGTTCTGCGGTCAGATGGGGGCAGTGTATCTGTTCAGTGAAGCTCTCAGCGCTGCTCAGATATTAGCCATCTATCAGCTGGGGCCAGGATACAAGGTATGACCCATTTCTCTCACAATATACTGATTATTATGAATGCTAAACATGTTCTTGATAATCCTATAAGTTATAAGTCACAGAGCTTTAAATATAGTCCAAAAACAGATATTTACAGATATTGCTACACATTCTCTGCATTCTCTCTGATTTTGTCTTTTTTTTTTTTAATACAGCACTAATTTAATTCTATTATTCTATGTTTTGTTTAAATGCAGTAAAATAGCTAAAAGTAATAATTGAAGTTAATTCTGCAGTTTTTATATAGTGGATTAAGCAGTATTTTATTTACCTGTTCCTATAGAATTGATATTGAGAGTCACATACATGTACTTCATTGGTTGAGGAATTGAATACTAAATGTCAGTTGAACCTATTATTTGTTCTCTCTTTCTGTTCTTCATATCACTGATATGATAATTAACTGGCACACATCAGCAGTTTTATCTTTCACATCATCTTTTAGTCTGTCTGATGCACTTAAACACTTGTGCTTTTATCAAGTGCTCTGATGAATCAGATTTAATTTCATGCCTTTAACACACACTAGAGAATGAGGAGCATCTCTGCTTCTCTGTTTCTCTCTGTCTCTCCTCTAGTTGTTGAAATTGCACATCATGAATTAACAGACAAATTGGAAACATTTAAAGTACTTTGGTGTTTGAATGAAATTTCATGTGAGGTAATGTTAAGGTATATGTGATGTAATGTAATTTAATTTAAATGACTCAGAAAAACGTATACTTGGAGAGGACAAAAACGCAGTTAAATAGGCTGCAAAAGATGCGTTCGCTGTCCACACCGTAAGAAGAAAAGGTTAATCCAAAGTCATTTGCCTCCGTTAAAACAGCTACACTTTTCATACTTGTAATTATTATAATTTTTTTATATAGATATTGTTTTTTCCTCTGCCATTTGTTCTCATTTACTGTCTATGATGTAAATATATTACATATTCAATTCATATTTAAAATGATTAGCAACTTTACAAAATCTCGTGCCAATAAAGCCACTTGAACTTGATTTCTTGTTTATGTGATTAATTTATGGAATGAAAGGGTTAAATTTTAAATAATTGCTCTGAAAACTGTAATCAAAGGTCTCTCTCTCTCGCTCTCTCTAATTCAAATGAGCTTTATTGGCATGACTTGGAACAGTTTTGCCAAGGCAATACATAAAAATTAAAAAAAGAATAGATCTGTAAAATAAGTAAAGCAGGTACATGTATATAATATACAAAGTAAATAAATAAGTAAAGTTGTCAATAACAATAAAACAAAAAAAGCATATAAGACATGCGAATAAAAATACAAATAAATAAAATTAATAAATAAAAATAGTAGTAATAACAGTATTGTACAACTGTATAACAACTGATCTTGCTTTAGGTTTGTCCACTGGCTGACAGTTTAAATTTATTTATTTATTTTTAATCTGAACTGGCTGACCTTGCTGTGATGTATGGTCGGTGACCTATAGTTTCGAGAAAGGTGCATTTAAATAAAATGCATTACTTTATCAATAATATTATTAGTTTTTTACTGGCTAATCAGGGTTTAACATTAATTTTTGATCACCAGCCACTGTGTCTAGTAGATTTTCAATGTTACTAGCGACTCGCCATTTTCACTAGCTACATTTCTGTTGTTGGGAATAAATACATATATTTGACTTTGACATGCTGAAGTTATTTGATTTAAATTTTGTTTTATGTCCACATGCCTCCTCGTGAATTTAAATTTTTTTTGTGTGTGTGTTGTGATCTTGCTCAGTGAGCATGAGCAAATGGCTTATAGTTTCAGGTTGGATGACTTTTCAGGGCTCGATACTAAGGATTTACCAAACTCTGGCCACACCAATCCTAATTATTTTTCTTGCAACAAATTTTAAATAATGCCTCAAAACAAGCAAAATATAACTTTTTATTCATCAAAAAATGGTCTATGAAAACAGTTGACAATTAAAAAAGTATTATCATGTATACAAAACTATACACAGTAGTGTGTCCAGGCTAAAGGTCCCAGATCACCAGTTAACTATAGAAAGGGAGAGTTAATCTCCTGTTAAAGCAATGTTATTATAAAGGATAATAATAATAATAATAATGATAATAATTCCTTTTTAAATAATTCCATTTATATAGCTATTTTCTGGGCACTCAAAGCGCTTTACACAATGGGGGGAATCTCCCCCATTATATGATGATAATTAAGCCATTAACAAAAATAACTATAAGCAAAATAAAGCCGGTGAAAAACATTAATAATAATATAATGAAAGGAAAATTACGCACACCCGGTTAACGTGCATGAGCAATGCTTTTTTCCAGTCTTATTTTAAAGAGAAATGCAAGAAACGGGACACAGGAGCTTTTAAGCACTCGTGCACATCACATCGGCAAGGATCGTCTGTCTCACCGTGTGCCTGATTATCCTCTCATTTGGTATTTACCTGCTTTCTTGACAGTTGTGCTGCTTCTTTACTCTAAGATTACATTTGTGCACATATTGACAAACGGTCTTAAAATATTAAAATATAAATCTTTTGTGACACGGCAGCACTGCCAGTTTAAATATTAGTTTTAAACTAGACTAGACAAAATAGCTAGTGTCGGTGTCCGTCTAACCTGCTATGGGTGAAATTTACCTGCATTTGGTGGGTTGGCAGGTGTTAATGTGGAATATTCGGATAAAATGTGTTGTAATTTTTCAAGAATTTGATCATGTCTCTTTCTCTCTTTTTCTCTCTCTCATTATCATTATCCAGGGCACTTTTAAGCACAAGGCCGAAAGTGACCTGCTGTTTGCAGAACATCATAAGATGCTGCTGTATGATGGAAAGTTGTCTGCCTGCATCGCCTTCACCTATAATCCTCGGGCCACTGACGCTCAGCTGTGTCTGGAGTCCTCCCCCAAAGACAACGCCTCCATCTTTGTGCACTCGCCACATGCTCTCATGCTGCAGGTATGATCTTTTTCACACCTGGATCAGCATCTCCAAGCAGTTGCCTGAGGAGAGCAGGTCTGCCAGGTGGGCTGATGTCTGGTGGGCGAATGAAACAAGCTCATCATCATTCGTTAACATAATTAACAATGTGACCATTTTATCATCTCGCTAAGCAAAACACAGCCTGCACCTGTGCTGCATCCAGTGCTCCATCAGCTGGAAACTGTGTTTCATTTAATTTAATCTGTTACACAGTATTACCAAGGGAGAATAAAAGCCTTTAAAAATGAATTTCTTTATAGAAAATCTATCTTTGATTTCTGAGTGCAATATTACGGACAGATAAGAGAGAGTTTTGGTGTCAGGTACAGGAATAGTGCAATAATAAAAAAAATGTCTTTCCATAGAATTTACTTTCTTACTGTGGAAGTCAATGGAAATCAAGAATTGTTTGGTTAACTTCATTCTTCAAAATGTCTTAACCCTTTTATTGCCTGCTCTACCAAATGGTTGACCATGTTTTGTTTGTTTTAAATAATGACTGTTAAAGTCATTTAAATAATGACTGTTTTAACGAATGGTTTACACACTCAGCATTGTTGGTTTACAAAACAAACAAAAAACAAACAAGCAAACAAACAAACAAACAAACAAACAAACAAACAAACAAACAAACAAACAAGCAAACAAACAAACAAACAAACCTGTTGCACTACTACACTTGTTTTCTTGGTTTCTTTTTTTTTTGTGTGCAAAATCTTGTTAAAAGAGAATCTGAAATATTTTATGTCATACTTCAAAAAAAAAGTGATTTAGTATTTAAAAATGTTTTATTTTGATGATTTTTAAAAAATAAATGCGTCTAACACTTCACATTTTCAGAGATTTCATAGTGTATTAATTCCAGTGCTTTTACCATAAACCAACATATTACACATTTGGTTGAGGCTGACATTTTTAAAATGATGGGATGTGTTGAAAAAAAATGCATTAAGTGTGGTAACTAGCGACATTAGGAGTAAAGAGAAATCTCTTTCATTTACTCACCCTTGACTTGATCAAAGCAGTTTTACTTTTTTGTTTGTTTTGTCAAACTCAATCAAAATATTTTGAATAATGTTGGAATTTGTTAACCATTGACATCCATTGTGGGTAAAACATTCTTCAAAAAACAAAATCTAACTGGTTTAAGTCAAGTCAAGGGTAAATGTTGTTTTGAAAAAAAAAAAGGAAATTTAAAAGGGCACCAAAGTATAAAAAAATATAAATATAAAAAAACAAAAAATATATATATGTAAATATAATATTAAAAAATACTTTTAAAAATGTTTAAATAATAATCCTTTAATGACTATACAATTAAAGATAAAGTTATTAGCCCTCCTGTGAAATATTAATGCTTTTTCAAATAACCCCAAAGATCTTTTTAACTAATTTTATACAATACTATTATTCATAATAATTGTAATAACTAGTTTCTTTTGTTTTTGTCATGATGTCACTACATAATAATGTACTTGTTATTATGCAAGAAATTACAATTCAAGTGCAGAGAAAGGTTAGAAGAAAATAATAGGGAATACTCCATTTTTTTTTTTTTTGCTCTGCTAAACACCACATGGGAATTATTTGAAAAAATACTATTCACAGGTGGGCTAATAATTTGTATATATATATTAATAAAAATTAAAAAAGGAAAAAATTACCACAAATAATTAATTCAACTTTTGATTTACCTTCTCTTGATTTAAATATGTCACTCCAGTTATCCAGCAGACTAACGTAAATAAGGTTTTATCTAAGATTATTCTTTAGAAGAGTGACACTTAATAGTCTGAGAAGCATTCGAATTGGTTAAAAGCAATGAATGAAAGACATTTTCAATTGATTCTTAATTATTTTCAGTTCATAAAAGCTTCTTAAGATCTGATGGCACCATCACATGCTAAACAGATGCAGTCGTTCCTCTTTGACAATGATTTTATGAAAATGCCATCTTGTGCCATCTGGGAGGGCACTCGTCTGATTAGAAGGACATTAAGAAGGACCTCACAGCTGTCCTTCTTCTTAATTACCCACCAACCCCTTCACACCATGCGTCAGTAGAGCTCAGATTTAGGAAATAACCTTCTCGTTCTGAAATAGTTGTTGCAGAATGACAGGAGGGTTTTATTATTATAGAGGAATATTTATAGAAATATCATTGATGGAGCAAATCTAACATCAAATCTTTCTATATCTCAGGATGTGAAGGCTGTGGTGACACATTCGGTTCAGAGTGCCATTCACTCTATAGGAGGAGTCCAGGTCCTTTTCCCTCTGTTTGCACAGCTGGATTTCCTCCAACACAGCGGTGACGAGCTGGACACCTCCGTCTGGTGAGAACACATCAGCTTAGCATGAGGGCCTGAATGAAAATGTTTCTCAGTGGGGGGAAAAGACTGAGCTCTTCTCAGTTTTAGCTTGACCCGGAGAATCTGAGAATTTTGTTGATTTTTTTTTTTTTTTTTTCCCCTTTTAAAGTTGTTAAACCTGTTAGACACAATGACATGCTTATTAAAGATGTGTGGCCAGTGCTCACTGTTATTTAATGATATTTAATGTGTGGACATTGAATGAGAGCCAATACAAAGTTAAATATTTAACTTTAACCATATACTAATAAATGTGTTACCTGGAGTAGTATAAATGTATCAACCTGGGCCAATCTTAAATGATGTTCTTGTTCAACTAGCTTTTCAAACGACCTTTTTCATTAAATATCTTGTGCTTCATCTTATTGCAACGTTAGATAGTGAAAATCCGCTTAGATTTGCTGGTTTACTCTCCACATAAAAAATAAAATACATGGTTGCCTTAATTTTTTAAGTTGAACTTTGTCATTTTAACTTAAGTTGAAATATGATTAACATAGTTTAATAAATGTGACCCTGAAACATTGACCGAGATACAACTATTTGAAAATCTATATTCTGAGAGTTTAAAAAAAAAAAGTTCTTAGCAATGCATATTACTAATCATAAGTGGTATTTTAGTAGATTCAATTAAATAATTTACAAAATAATTTACAAAAATAATATTCAAAGAACATAATCTTTTAACCTTCCAACATAAGACCTATAAGGTCCAATAATGATTAACATAAAAACATTTGTTGTCATGACTTATTGATCATATATTTTTTAATAGTCCATGACCTTGATGAGCTGTGTGAATTTATTATAATTTTTTTATCCAAACTTTTTGTAATATCCAAAAACAAAAGATGAATCTTGATCAACAACCAGACATACATAAACCAAAGTTAGAATGTGTTCAGGTTAATTGGTACGGTGTATTCATTATATAAAGCTGTCATATGCCTGCATAAGTCATTTAAGGTACTGCTTTGTATTTTGACGGCTCCTGGTCATGTCATTAATTAACTGTATGCAAAAAAAACAAAAAAAAACACGAACAGAGAACAAAAACAAAATCAACTTAGACATTCTTTAAAGTTTGTGTTTTACAGAAGAATTTGTTCTACAGAGCTTTTGCATTAGCTCTGTTGCATGAAATGTAATGCCTAGGAGTGTTTTAAATTAAATTAAATTAAAATTAAAAAATGGTTGTTTTATCGTTGAAGTTGTTACAATCTTGTTATGGCGAGTTGCTGAGTTTATGATGTTTACACTGTTTTTATGATTTGCTCATTCATTGTTTTAAGAATATTAAGGCCCACAATGGAAATAAGCCTGTGGCTTTTTGTGTATTTTATCCTGAACTTTTTAAACTATGTATGAATTGAAGTCTAATTGGACTTGTTTGTATATTTTTGTTAAAATTGTCTGATAAAAATAATCAAACAACAATTGATTTAACCAGATTTAATGACTACAGCAGTTGCTTTTGAAAATATTGAAAGCCAGGTTATCAATGTAATGCATTAATCTTTTTTCTTTCCCTTTTTTTTTGGTGTTTAATATTTTTGCACTAACCTGTAGTACATTTAATTCCTCCCTCAGTTGCACACTACTGTCGTTTGTGATGGAGCTGTTGAAGGGCTCTGTAGCTATGCAAGAACAGGTGCTGGCCTGCAAGGGCTTTCTGGTCATCGGTTACTCTCTGGAGAAGGTCAGTGCCAAAGATGAAAAGGAATATCACTTTTTTTTCATTGTGCACAATAAATGTTCAAACATGAATGCACATCCAAAGGCTTTATGTTCTACAGTTTTACTTGATTTAAAAAGTTTTAAGTCATGCTAAAACTGAACAAAGAACAAGATTTATATCAATCAAGGTCTTCTTCAATGTTTGAAGCAAGCTTATGATATGAAAATGGGTTTTAGGGAGTTCTTGTTAAAACAAGGAGTTGCTGGGTAACACTGAAAGGGATAAAAAAAGTGCAATTCCTAAGTATGCTTAATAGCGAACCCAACAGAATGTCACAAGATCATCTGTTTTGTAAGCAGGAAAAACACTTTAATTGCTCAAAAACCCTACACTTTGCCTCCTCTTCAGATAAATGGAAATAGAAATAGACCTCATGTTTCTTTTATGCTTTGAGAAGATTTGTATTTCTGTCCTTTACTTTGCAAGCATTCACTTTCTTTCTTACAGCCTACCGTAATATTATTTGACACTGAAGGTCCCATCTGGCCTCAGGTCATTACATCAAAATGCAAAAAGGAATGATTTAACCAGATTTAATGACTAAAGCAGTTGCTTTTGATAGTAGGCCAGCTTACAAATGTAACGTTTATTAATATTCTTGCTTTCTTCTTCCTGTTGTAGTTAATCTATATTTATACTTCAAGGTAAACCTTTAATTTATGTATATAATATTGTAGATCAATTGAAAATAGAAGTTCAGATTAAATGTTTTTATTTCAATTTTTTATTTCAAATTTAGATTTCTCTATCATGAACATTAATGGGGTTATTTCAATGTTTGTCAAAACAGTCACAATTGCAATTATTACTGAAAGTAATTATGTAAAATATTGATAAAACAAAGAAATGTAAAGTCCTTGTGAAACAGTAACCTAAACATGCAAAAACCATGCCCGAGGTATGCCTGAGGCTTTCACACAATGGCTTTCAAGCAAACCTGCTTATACAACACATAATTTACATTAAACTGTCAGCCTTTAAATGTTTGTTTAACCGCATTTTAGTTTAATGATGAAAAGGTTGCAAAGTCGAGTTAATTTGTTAGAACTTTGATTTGTTTGCTTTGTATTCTCAAAGGAACACTTCCAACTTTAAAGGGGTGGTCCACTACGATATCATATTTTAAACTTTAGTTGATGTGTAATGTTGGTGTGTGAACATAAACAACATCTCTGAATGTAAAAAGCTCAAAGTTCAATGCACTTTGGTTTTTACAGAGTTAGCTTAGCAAAGCCTACAATGAACAAATTTTGGGGACTACAAAAAATACTTTCGGGCCTGTGAGATCACAAATGTACTTTTACCGCGCACACGTACTGCGCAACTAAGGGCTGTGGCCAGAGGCGCTGTAACGTTATAGCAGAGAGAGCTAAAATGCGTCTAAACGCTGCTGTTTCCACAGAGCTTCGTCTGTTTCTGTATTTGGGCTTTTAAAGGACACGACACAAAGACAGAAATGCTGTAGTTCAATATTAATAATGTTCCAGAGAATTATAAAATACACAGCAAGCATGATTTGACAAAACAGCTTCCAGAATCTCTCCCAGTTCAGTGCTGGATTCGGTTAAAATCTCCTCAAAGCAAAAGCTGTGAACTACAACCTGTAAGTGTTTTTATTTGTTAAAATTGATCATGACATGTACAGTGTCTAGCATTAACGGTATGCTGTAGCAACGGTGTAAACAATGGGAAAATGCAGCTTTTCCATGCGTTTTACATCTCAGATAATGAAGTCGCATAGCTCGCCTAACTCTTGTGCTTTATTCTTCTGTCACGATATATTACAGAAAATAACTTAATCCGAGCATCAGAGAAAAAGAAAAAGAAAGTCCCGCGCACATGCGCTTGTTAAACACATCTACAGAAAGTTCACACATTCACACACACACAGACACACACAAAGACGATCTCTCTTAAAGGAGCCGCACCCCATTTTCAGTCGTTACAGACACATGTAAGATTTTATTTTAGAGAGCAGGCAGGAGGTTGACTGACTGTTAACACAGCAGAAAAGCGCATGCTTGTGCGGGCGTGACATGGAGCCGATCCACGAATCGCAGCAGATTATGACAATGACCAATCAGAGTCACTTGAGGACGGGCCTTTCAGAGCAACTAGGAAAATATTAGTCGTTTTCATGTTAGCTGAGTAGCTGTATACAATCAAAGTGAGATATATGAAAAAAATTATGTGATTTCCTTGAAGTAGAATTCCATAAAAACAGTCAAAACAACTATAATGTGACTTTTTGGTTAATCTTGTTACTAAAATACATGCTTCTGATCTAATTTTTGACTTAGGTAGTCCAGAGATGTGTATAGTACAACAACAAATATTTTTTAATAACGGCATATAATAAACAACTATAATAAATTTCAGGTCAGCCAGTTTGCTAATCAGCCAGTGTACTAATCAGTCAGACTAACAGATGAAGAATTGAAAAATTGAAAAAAAAGAAATCTCCATAGCACCCCTGTTGGCTGATTCTTTGCCAGTCTCTCCCTAAATGGAAAATTACCATCTGGTCCAGTTTTAAGTCTCTAAGTCTTAAAGATGTATGGCAGAATAATAATAATGCTTAGTTCCAATTGGGAATTTGGACTTTGTGCTTGAAACCCCCAACAAATAAAATTATTTGGTTATAACTGCACCTTTAAGAGTAACACAAGGAAAGGATTCTCTTGAGATTTTTACACTCGGTCAGTCTGTCCCTCTACACATTGGCAATCAGCCAAAATGTTTTTAGGAACATTAGAAACCTGAGACCAATGTCAAGTTGTGTTGTGCTGTGATGCAGCAAAATCTTAAAACTTTGAAAAAACCTGCACTGATTCAGTTTTTATTTTACACATTTGTTTGACGATTTTATTAATATTTGCTCTGATGTTTGTGTTTTCTTCTCAGTCTTCCAAAGTACATGTGACACGACCTGTGCTGGACATCGTCCTTGCCTTCGCCCGTTACCTTAGCAACCTTCCTACTGGTGTTATGCTCTTGAAACAGCTGTGTGACCACATCCTCTTCAACCCTACCATCTGGATTCATGCCCCTGCGAAGGTCTCTTACACATTTATACAGAATGCTGAGTAGTTTATTAGTTTACCAGTTCTTTGTTTTCTCCAAGTGATCCTTTTCAAGGCTGATTTGAACAGTTTTGCTGCCCCCAACAGGTACAGCTGGTTCTCTACACCTACCTGGCCACAGAGTTCATCAGCACTGTCACCATTTACAATGCCATCCGCAGAGTTGGGACCGTACTGCAGGTCATGCACACGCTCAAGTATTTCTACTGGGTTGTAAACCCACTGGACCGCAGCGGAATCACACCCAAGGGTCTCGGTAAGAGACTAAACCAACTTCTCAACACATGGTCACTATTCTGCAAGAAGAATGGCTCAAAATCCCTCTGGCCAATGTACAGGACTTGTGTCTGTCATTCCCAAGACAAATGGAGGCTGCATTGGCTGAAAAAAGAGTCCCTATACCATAATAATGAATAATTGTGGGCTAAAACCAGGCGTTTCAGTTTAATTGCTCAACCCTTTATTTTTGTACTGTATGTATGCATGTATGTATGTATGTATGTATGCATGCATTTATGTATGTATGTTTGTATGTATGATTTTTTTTCTTTCATTTATTCATTTATGCAATGCTATTTTTTATGTTTATTGTTATAATAGAGTGGAAGAACTATGACGTCACCTTGTAGGCCAATCGGCTGCTAATATAAAACTGGTTCCCTTGTTAAAATCTCTATAGGATTAAGATTTTCCCATAGGCTTGTCTAAAATTGCAAATAATAAGCTTTGGGATGAGGGATCTGGAACTGCTTAACTCACTTTTTGCATAAAAATTGACGTCTTAGTTCCTCCTTAAATTATTTTATTCCAGACTGAAATAATAATTTTAACTTCTAGATTTTTAGAATGTTCTTAAACCTTTTGGCCTTAGTATTTAGCAGAGTTTTTCCAGATTAAATGGGCATGGTAGGTTTGCACTAAAGATCCCCTCAATAACCAAACATTTTGGCTTTCAGTGTTTTTTTAATGTAATTACCATAGTAGTACTGCATTTTGTTTGTCTCATTTAAATCTCTTTAGACTAAATTACAGTTACATTAAATAGGATACACTTTTTCTTTTGGTTCCACCGAGTTTTGAAACTGTTCTGAAATGTTAGTTCTAACTGATAGAAAGTATTAGTAATCGGTGATAAGTCAAAACTTCACAGACCCATAGAGTGTATCTACTGTTTTTTTATGTGTTCAGATGGACCGAGACCCAATCAGAAAGAGATTCACTCTCTCCGAGCGTTTCTGCTCCTGTTTGTCAAGCAGCTCATAATGAAGGTAAAGTAGCGTAACCAATAACATACATAAAATCTGAACGAAATAATAATAATTCACCACACAAAATGCTTCTGTGTCTTTTAAATACAGGATCATGGCATAAAAGAAGATGAACTGCAGAGTATTCTGAACTACCTGCTCACAATGCACGAGGTACCCTAATGCCCCTACTTTCATTTCAAACATTTCATTGTATGTTTTGAACGGGTATCAGCTGTTTGACTACTTTACTGTATCTCACCCACAGTAGATCAATGCAGATTAGTAATGATACCCTTTTATTGATACAATGTGCTGTCTGTGTTGTAACTGCCACCAGAGGGCGCTTGGTCACCATTTTTTTCTCAGTTATGCCTGCTAGTAGACCTTAAAGGGATATTTCACCCAAAACTCATTTACATCCTCTACTTGTTTCATACCTATTTGATTTTCTTTCTCCCATTGAACACAAAGGAACTTCGATACTATTTGTTGTTCCTACCATGGATGTCCATGGCTGCTGGTTTTTAATATTCTTCAGAATAACTTGTTATTATATATATATTTATTTATTGATTGATTTATTTATTTAAATACACACACACACACATATATATATATATATATATATATATATATATATATATATATATATAAGATATAATATATGTATATGTTTTTGAAAGCATAATAAGAACACAGGATTATGTGTTAGGCCACCATAGTCTAGTTAATGGATGGGAAACACTGTTAGTATTTGCTAATATAGATGTTCAAAGAAGGATATATTAGCTTTCTACCAGGCCTCATTTTTACAATTCAAGCTTGATGTTTGATATAATTCTAAACACATATTTTTTAAGTGTCAACAATGCAAACTAATATATCAAGTATTTGATGTTTTTGTTAGAACCATCAGGAAGTTAGAATATTTGAAAAACCAATGGCAGACAAAAGCAGAATCCTAGTGGGAAAAAAATATCCACAAATCCCTCATGAGAAATAGCTAAACTTTGGTATTTTAACATAATATTCACAGTATAACATAATGCAGTGATATAGAGCACATGTTTGTGTCCAGAGACCCAACATTAGATTAGGAATGCTTTTAACTTGCGCATGTTGACATTCAAATACATGTAAAATTAAATATTTTATTTGATTTAATTTGATATATTTAGCAGTTTTGTTTTGAATGAAACCTGACTGACAAATGTGCTTATTTATTGTGACATATTTTCTTCAGGATGATAATCTGATGGATGTTCTCCAGCTTCTGGTTGCACTGATGTCTGAGCATCCTGGCTCAATGGTTCAAGCTTTCGATCAGCGGAATGGAATACGGTAAGAGCTGCGCCCCAGACATTAACATTCTTTAACGTGCACCTTTATTAAAAACCATAAATGATCTTGGGGAAAAAAAAACCTGACAGATAAATTTGAGTTATTCCCATTGGAATAACGGGGAACCACAATACCTCATTCTTAGCAAAGACATGCCCATCCTTCTCAACCTATAAAAATACTTTCTTATGTTCATTTGATACCTATATACATCACACGAGCTACTAAAATGCTGGCATTTACATTTCCAAAGCCTTTATAGACATGCTAGTTCCACTGACAGCCATGGGGTTAAATGTGCACGCTAGCAGGGGGCTTCTAGACGGCTCGTCGTGATAAAACAGAGGGCCTCACTTTCATTTTACATCTGACAACCTCAGTCAGATTACACTTCCATCAAATTCCACTCAAGAAAGATATAGGCACATTTATTTGAATATGTAGACAGTGGGATAGTCTACTATTACTTATTACTTACTTATGTACTCGTCATCTTTGTGTACATGCCAGACTGGGTCACAGATTATTTTCTTTATCTCAAGAGGTTAAAACCGTTTCTTTTTTTTTCATTTTCTCAGTGTATATTTATTAGGGGTATAATGGATCACGGTTGATCTGTGATCCGTATGAGCCCACAGTTCGGAACGCATGTGACCCACATGTTAATAACTTTTTTGAACTTGTAGGCTATTCCAACATTCATGACAATTACAGAGAGATCACCTGTGCGTCATTTAAATCACGTCAATGAAAGCATTTTGGCTTCCCTGTAAAATTTAAGGATGAAAAAGTTGTGGTGGGACCTAAATGCTTTTTTAGGTTATTAATTAAATGTGTTTTATGTCACTGTTTGTTCAGCTTGCATTAATGCATTCAGTGTAAAGCTGTACAATTAAACATTAAAAGATTGTAAAACCTGCACAACATTTATGATAAATGATAATGATTTGCATATGTTTAGTAATCCATTGAAGCGCTGCATTCATCGCTTTTGCTGCTTTTGATCGAGAGATCAAAAAAACATATACTAAAAACAATTATACTTTAATTGACATTAAAGTCAATTTAATGTTTTGAATGTGTTTCATTTCAATTTATTGTTTATAAATTACACAACTGTGGTATACAGTTGTGTGATTACTTATAACAACCCTTTAATTGTGACATAAAAATATTGGGTGTTTCATATTTACCTTCAATGTGATTCTTTTCTATCCTACATTACTTTTGTTGTGTTTCTATTTGTGTTCCTTTTTTGCTGACACTGTAGCTACTTTGTTTTCTATGATTGGTTTACTTCGTTATTTGCTCAACAGCACAGTAGTGCTGTGTATAGTGTTCAGAAGGAAAAAACCCTGTACTGTATTTATTTATCAAAGATTTTTTTATAATTTGAAATGTTGTACAACTTATAGTTTTAAGCAGGAGAAAATTTGTACAGTATTTTATGTAACAGAATGTATGCAGCTGTTATTTTTTGTGCAGCTGTATTTGTAAACAGTGAGGGATACCCTTGTGTTTGAATTAAATTTTGCTTAAAAAATTGTTTAATAAAGTTTTAATAAAGGCTTTAACTCTCAAGTAATTTGGTAATTTAGCAAAGTATTTATGGGAAAATACAGGAAATATATTGTGTATTGTCTGTCCTCCAAAAACAGACATATGACAAGAGATATGAATTTTTGCCCATATCGCCCAGCAATTATCCAAACTGTGAGATTTGTGATCCATTACACCACTAATATTTATCCAACGAAGACAAATTACCTCCCCCTCAAAAAAAATAAATAAATAAAATAAAAGTGAACCTCTTATAAAACAAACAAACAAACAAACAAACAAACAAACAAAAAAACATTGTTTATTTAACTACTTAAAGACTTAAATGTGGTTTTAAGATATCAAATATTTTTGTGTTGGGTAATTTTCTTTGTTGGAAAATAAACACTGAGAAAATAGTAGAAACACATTTTCAATCTCTTAAAACAAGTCTTATAATAAACAAGGTCGTTTTAAAATTTAATTGTACTTTTGTTTTCTTACAATCTGCTTGTTTTTATTTCTGTGTTTTTTTTCTTTTTGTTTCCTTTCATTCATTTTTTTCCTCAGTATTTGTTTAGCATGTATAACATTTTTTTCATGTGTTCTCTCCGAAATGTTATGTAACAACTACTCTCTTTTGAATAACACAGGGTCATCTTTAAGCTGCTGGCGTCCACAAGTGAAGGGATTCGTGTGCAGGCTCTCAAAGTCTTGGGCTACTTTCTCAAGTATTTGTCACCAAAGTGAGTTATATTTTTATTGTTTGGAATTAAAGCTTGTGATAACAGTCAATCATATTAATACAATAACACGTTAACCTTATTTTTAATGAGTGCTCCTACGCTCAGACTTGTTTATTTGACAAAAATTAGTCAGTCTAGCTATAAATATTTAGCAGAAATATCTCCCAGCATACCATCAAGTGAGTAAAATGAACGCTTAAAAATAAGCAGCTAGGTCATTTCCCAGAGTGAATATAGCTGGGTTGTTTTGATAACAAATTACCCCTTGCTCCACTATTAATTCATACAGCGTGGAAATATTTATCCGCTAATGTAGTCAAAGTCTTTAATCGTGTGAGTGTTTTTCCAAATGCAGTTTCTGCAGCGTTTGATAGATAAAGCTCACTTTGGTTTATAATCCCATTTGCTTGACGAGAATTTCCCCCAGAAGGAATTCTGACCGCCAAGTGCTTTTAAAATAGATACAGCTTCATTTCGTGACTATGAAGAGATTTTTTTCAGAAGTTCTGGGCTGCAGTCTTGCCCTGTTGGGGTCCTGGCTGGATTTGAAGTAGATCATAGTCTGGGGTTTGCTTTTTTGTTTAGATTTTTTTTCAATGCTCTCTGTTTTAGGAGAAAGTCAGAGGTGATGCTGGCTCACGGCCTGTTCTCTCTGCTCACTGAACGACTGATGCTCCACTCAAACCAGTTCACAGTGACAACATACAACGTGCTCTTCGAGGTCGGTCTCTCTTTGTTTTTGACCATCACACTGTGCAAACTTCAGTGACAGAGTTACGTTTGGTGTACTTGTCGATTTTTGTACTGATTGCTCTATCAAAACAAATGACAATTTCCTTATTTTTAAAGTCAATTTAATGTTTTAAATGCGTTTCATTTAATGTAATTAAGAATTTGCTGAGAATTAACTTGGATGTCATCTTTAATTATAATTAATTAAATTATTATAAATTACCTTTAACTTTAATTGAATTGAACTTTAATTAAATTTAATATTTAATTATCATAGTCGGTTCTTGTGTAATTTTTCTCATGGATTTTCTGCTTTATTATTTTTTCTGACTTTTATGGCTGGTCAGTAATATTCCCAAGATCTCGACTATTATTGCTCAGTCAAATTTTGATGTTGTATATATCAGTGAGTGACCAGTACTGTGTGATTTTCTTCAGATTCTTACAGAGCAGATCTGTACTCAGGTCATTCACAAACAACACCCGGACCCTGACTCAACGGTGAAGATTCAAAACCCACGTGAGTTAAATGACACACAATAACGCAAATACACAATGTACTTGAGCTGTAATTATGTTACATAAATTATTTAGGCATTTAAAGATATTTTTATTTTCAAAAAAAAATTTTTTATAGATTTTTTTTTTATAAATTATTTCATGCATGCTGTGACTTATTTAATATTGACTTATTTAATTTTTATATAATTTGTTTTTTTATTATTATTTTAAACATGTTGTGACTTATTTAATCATTATATATTAATCATATTTATCATCAAACAAGAAAAAGTAGCAATAAAATTAGCACATATTTGAAATCATAAGTGATAGATGTGGGTTTTTGTATAGTACATTTACTGCCTCGCTTGTTTCAATGAAATGTTTATGACTAATATTCATAATGCACGTCGGTTTTAATGAATTGTCATTTCTGTCATTTCTAATTTTCTTTAATCGTTTCTGTTTATGAAAATTGAAAATGTACATGATTTGTTTTGTCAAGTTTAAGGGAACTACTTTTAAAAATTTTATTTAGGTTTACTGGTGAGCTAGTGTTCTAGTAATGTATTCTAGTGTTCTTGTAATGTATGTACATTATTGAATCGTATAGATTGTAAAACGTGATTCTACAGCAATGCAACCAATTTTGAAAATAAGGTATAAAAGGATTTTTAAAAAATAGGTTGATTTATTTATTCAGCATTTTTCTTATTATTTACATGCATAATGTCTATTTCTCTTATTGCTTAAAGGCCCCTTCGAACTATATGTATTAACTCAGCTTTATGAACATATCTTAGTCAAATCTCAAATTCAAAATGTTGTCATAAAATAAATAGATTGTTCAGAGATGCAGTAATGATCACCATTATGCTGGCACATTCTACCCCTCTTCTTGTGCGAATGGACGTTTTCCAGACAAGAGGAAGCGGCAAGATCACAAGCAAAGCCTGCCTTTTATTGTAAAATGACTTAACACTGCTTATTTTTACTCTTGATTTACAAAAATAGTGTTACGTAAGTCTCATTTCATATTTCTGTGCTTGTTGCGGTGCAAATCAAAAGCCAACGTTTTTCCTTGCATCTAATGGCGAGGTATACGGTTACCTCAGACAAATGAAGCTCATTTGATGGTCACTGTTGCTCAGATGAAAAACCCATTAAAAAGTAATTAGCTTCCCACTGTAGTTGTTGGTTTCTTTTTAAAGCTGATTTTCTGAATATATTATTTGCCTGAATTCTTTTTAATTCCAGCCCTGGTTTATGCTTAATGTGTGCGTTTCAGAATTCAGAACAGGGTTAGAGAGCAATCAGATGCTCTGGTTTTAATACAGAAAGTGAAACTAATATTGTATACCAATCCATATAAGGCCTTTCCCTAATGAGGTTTAATTTTGAGGTACTGCAAGAAGCTGATTAGAGCTGAATTTACATGCAGATTTGACAACTTGCCAGTCAGAAGAATGCCACGGAATTCTGGGTCGATTTTATAACGTTCAGACGGAGATGGCAGAGCGAAAGAGTCTGATTCAAGGCCATCTCCTAGATGATCAGAGGGCGAGTTTCAGCTTTCTCGTGTGTCTCTTTGATTTGATCTGTGTTGAAGCCACTAAATGGCTCTGATTGCAGTCTTTAGCCATGTCAGACCCAATCAAACAAACTGAGGAAGCACAAGTTTCTCTTAAATTAAACTCTGGGACAAACCAGGACCAAATGGGGATTCGGAAAGCAAAAAAACCTGAAATGCGCAGAGATACATGCAAAGGTAATTTTCTACTGGTAAGGTTCAGTGACTCTAATTTAAGTGAGTAAGGCGTAGAAACAACACAATTCTGCTGGAACGAGTGAGAGCATTGGTTACAGATGCTGTCGAGCTCTAAACTCCCTGTGACGGCTGAAACTTGATCTGCTCTTCTCAACTTAATGCATGCTGACATTGTCTAGATAATTCATCTAAACAACCAATCTTTCCAGTTTAAGCTAACGCTCTGTTCCAGGAAGCCATGACTTTAGCGGCAGAGTTTGGACAATACCGACCTTATGATGTAGAGCATACTTTTACTCCCTCCACAATATACTTAGTCATTTTCCCAGTTTATAAGAAAAGTGTTGGGTCAAAAAGTATATTTATTAAAGTTAATGTTTGTAGAATGTAGAATATATACACACTTATAGACCATTTTGAGGGATGTAAACAATAACAATGGTCCCCACATGTTTCCTGTTTTACATTTTTAATTTCTATAGCTTCAGAGAATCCAAAAAGAACAATATATTGATAAAAAAAATGTTATAACAGCTGTTTTAACGTTATGATCGTATTGCCTCTTGTAACATTTATAAAATAGTTTTACAACTAGCAGGAAATGTTCATGGGAAAATGACATGTGACACATGTAACATTGACAAGTTATTGACCAGCATTGGTTTATTCTGTAGACCAGAGCTTTCCAGACTAGCGCCCATAGGGCTAAAGTTGGCCCATGATAATCTTTGATTTGGCCCCCTATTCCAACTGAGAGGAGGAGGAGGAGAATGATGGGGAGCATTGGGGAGAAGGCCTTTAACAAATATTGTGATTTTGAATTTAACCTGTTTGCCAGCACTCACTTTTGGGGATTTTTACCCACCTAAATTTAAATCATAACAGTTCTTGAGTCCAGTAAGCTACAAACACAAATTAGGTATCATTGGTAAAAGGGGACATTTCATGCTTAAAAATACAAAATGTTATACGTTATAAAGTCATGACAAAAAAAAGTATTGTGTTCAATATTTGTTTTTTTTATACACAAACAGGAAAACATTAATTCAATGTCCCAGAATAAAAAATGTGACTTAAAAGCCAAGTGTTTCATGAGTTTATGTTTTAAATTTGATTAAGATAATTTAAATTTGATTAAGATTCTGCATAATGAGAATTCTGTAAAGTTTTTCTAAGACTATATCGGTGTCCTTTTTTCCCTCACCCTCAGAGGCATTTTCTCAAGAATGACCAGCCCAAACTAAAACAGTAATGGTTGCTGAATTATTTAGTCTACAATAACAGTTCATGTATCTTTGAAAAGAAGACACTTTGGGCTTTATTTTGCTTTTTTGTATGTTTTATTGTTGAGTTGAGCTTCAAAAAAGCAAACTGAAACTAAACGTTTCAATTAATTGTTGTAAATTAATCAGATTTAAAAAAAATAAGTAAATGCTGTCTCTACGAATAGAGGACAATGCACATTGTGAGAAAATCAAGGCAAAAGCTCGACTTGTGTATTCGGGATTGTGTTATAAATGGGATTTTTTTTTTTTTTACTGTAAAGCATTCTTTATATCTATATTATTTTTTTAATTACACTGAATTAGTTCATATAAAGCAATATTTTCTGGTTTTAAATATTAGAAAAATAAATTAGGAAATTACTCATGGCAACTTTAATGTAATACAGTTTGCTGTAATTACCTTTGGCCCACAGCCCTCTATGAAGTTTGGATTTTTACTCGTCATAAGAATAAGTTAGGGCACCTCAGCTATCGACAATCAAAATTTTAAAGCAGCTTATAATATTGTCTTTAAAAATAATGATAAAAATGTTAAATGTAAATAATTCCAGAAAAAAAAAGACTTTTGCTAGAAGAAAACAATATTATGGGAATTATTGTGAAAATGTCCTTGCTCTATAAAACATGATTTGGGAAGTATGTGAAAAAGAACAAATAATTCACAGGAGGGCTAATAATTGTGTCTTACAAGTAGACAGACGTCTACAAAACCATCAAAAATGAGCTGTGAAAAAAATACATGGACAGAAAACTTTGCTTTGGTAAAGTTTAATTAGAAGAAAAACAAATATTTTGCTTACCAAAGCTGCATTTGTTTAAACAGAAGATGGTTAAACAGTGTTATTATAGTACAAATCGAAGTAGCTGTTTTCTAATTAACTTCAAATGTATTCCAGAAATGGCAGTTTTATTTTATTTATTTTATTTATTTTATTTTTTTTACTTTTCAGCAATTTTAGTCTTCTGTGTGACATGAAATTACAGGAATGAATCTTTCTAGAATTAAACAATCTCATAATTTCTTTATTTACTTTTATCAGTGTTGGATTTTTAATGCAATTGATGCTTTTTCGTAGGATTCATTGATAAATATGAATAGAGAACAAAACAGCTTCCTACAGAAAGGTTCATGTGCATTAAATTTTGTTCCATCAGAGATCCTGAAAGTCATAGCGGCCCTGTTAAAGAATGCTCCTCCTGAGGCAGAAAGCATGGAAGTGCGGCGTATCTTCCTCTCAGACATGATTAAACTCTTTAACAACAGCCGAGAGAACCGCAGGTAAGAATCACTGACACATACACACTTACCTAGATACATCAATCAAAAAGCGATATTTAACATTTTTATACAGTAATGCAAATGGATTAACACTTGCGCCTAGCAGAAAACATGTTAGGTTTTTAGTACTTTCCATTTAGCTCACTTCTGTAAAATGTTTTAAGTCTAAAGTATAGTTTGGGTCTTAATCTTTCACTAAGAGCAATGTAGGCCATTAATAAACATTTTAGCTCCATCAGAAAACCTGCACACAATTTTTACTTCATTCCAACTTTATTACTGACAAATGCTTTGCTGATTAAATAGACTTTCAAGCTTGTATAGATATTCAGAGACCAAACTAACGATTGAGAGCATTAGCTTCAAGCTCTATAATTGTGGGCACCAGAACTTTATTTAGTAATGTTGTACATGTCATATGAATAATATTAGAAGTTTTGTCTCGGAGAAGAAGAGCAATTGACATTAGCTTGATCTGAGAGTAATTGAAGCTTGGGTTGGAATCAATGACGTAAAAATGCTGGGTTCCAAAAATTTCCTTCATGGTGTCACAACACAAATTAATTAAGTTAACATAATTGTTTTTACAATTTTAAGTGGATTGTACATAAAACATTTAAGTTGTCCAATAACCTTATTATTTGTTTTTTTTTGTAATATTTGCTTAACAATAATATATTTGTGCATCTGCATTAGATTAGCAAGTACTAAAGCCAAAACTGTAACTAATCTAACAAAAAAAAAAACTTAAGATCACAGTCCAAAAATTAGTCCACCTAAATTAATAAAGTATTAGGAATTTTAAAAAACAGGAAAAATCTAGAGAAACATTAAAAAATTAGAAATAACTAGTTTGAATTTAAGTGTATTATCTTGCTATTCCTATGGATGTTAGGTGACCAAACTCCTAATTCAGTGCATATAACACACACAAACACACTGTGCCACTTTTCTGTCACAAGTCCATGGTTATAACTATAAAACAATGGTAAATGTTAATGTGTGGATTGAAACATCTTCTGTAAGTACTTCATTCTTACACAGTGTTTCTGCTGTTTTCTGGATCAGCATTGTTAAGAATGACAGAACATATTTATTGAGCTTTAAACTAGCTGGAATCACAGAGACATTTGGGATTGCTGAAATAAAACACTTCTCACTTGATCTTATAGTTCTGTTTAGTGGTCAGGTGATTGTGACTTGTAAGTGTAGAAAAGACTCGCACTCTAGCTGTTTTTTTTGAGCCAAACTGGTACATTTGGTTTAATTTTTTGGCACATTTACCTTTTATTATCACACTTAAAGCAATTATATCAATTGGTAGTTAAATAATAATAATAATAATAATAATAATAGTAACAACATTGAAACGTGGGCGATCTTGCTGGGTTTTCTGTTAAACACATCTAATTTTGTCTTCAAGTTAGGAAAACAAGCAAATGCTTTCATTAAAGAGCTGTGACATCGCTGTTATTTAATGTAATCAAATGAAAAATCCTAATGAGAGATTAATTTGCTGCTCTTTAATCAGAAGGTTTGAATTTTATAGTGAAGAAAAGGTTAATGAAGTGTGATAAAGGATTTATCCCTTATTTTTACATCCCAATGTTGACAGGTATGAGTTGCACCAGAAAATTGATAGTCACACCAGTGTGATATTGAGCAGAATTTAGCAAAAAAAAAAAGTCGACACACACACACACAGTGTCTAGGACTGTATTGTATTCTGTTTTTTATCATGACAATCATCATCTACGTGTATTCTGAAATTAGTATGCACTCATCGTTTTGTGTAGGAGTCTGTTGCAGTGCTCTGTATGGCAGGAGTGGATGCTCTCTCTGTGCTTTATAAACCCCAAGAACAGCGAGGAGCAGAAGATCACTGAGATGGTGTACGCCATCTTTCGCATTCTTCTTTATCATGCCATTAAGTACGAGTGGGGCGGCTGGCGCGTGTGGGTGGACACACTCTCCATCACACACTCCAAGGTCAGGACCCAAAACACACACACGTACACAACAGTACACACACACACAGACAAAACAAAACAAAACACAAGGATGTATGTTTGAAGTGTGCATACTGTATGGCAATGCATGTATTATGAAACAATGCAACAATTCACAAAGCCTGGCAGTTTTTGATTTGCCAAAGTATAGGATTTATGCGTTTTAAATACTTCCTCATTTAATTTTTATCAGTGGGACTCATTTTACATGTGTCGTTTTCCTTAGGGGCAATAGCATTCTGCATGAGTTTCTGTGTTCATTTATATAAGGGCAGTTTTGAAGGGGCTATGTATATTGTACTTTTTTATTATTAAATGTAAAATAAGATAAATATTTATTTTATTTCCTGAAAAAAACTATTATTTATATTATATATATATTTTTTTAATATTATTATTTATTTTAATTGTTATTATTAATTTTTTCATTATGACTACTACCAAACAACAACCAATTGTAAAAAAAAAGTTTTCTTTTTTTTATCTATTTTAAAATGATTTTTTTCATAAAATAGGGAGGCTGGAAATTCAGTAGCCATTACTTCAGTTTTCGGAGTGACATCATTTCACAAATATAATTTTAATATGCTGATATTCAAATATCATAACTGAATATTATTAATGTGAAATGTTATCAATTATTTAAACATTATTTGGATTTCTTTAAATAGAAAATGTAAAAGCAGCATATATTTGAGTTTTTTATGCAGTAGTATACACATTTTAACAAGAAGTATTCTATCTGATTTAATAATTGTGGATTGGTTGGTTGACTTGACTGATTAATTGATTGCATTTGATGTATTGATTTATTATTTCCCCCCTCATTGTATAAAGTGTTTTATCATACATCAATCCTCCAAATTTACCCCATGCAGGTTTAGGAAGAATACAAAAAAAAAAAAAAAAACATTATTCCATAACTTCACGCTTCCAAAGCTTTTTTTGATATCTCCATTTTTAAGTTCAAAAACACCTCCCAGATATGAAACAAGCTAGAGGGTTTCTTTGTTATTACTGTGCACATGGATGCTTGTCATATGCAAGCTTTCCAAATATGTTACATTTCACATCCATAGTCCGATGGAGAGGTTAACAATTTTTAGCACAAAGCAATAGAACACCTCGTTTGTATGAAATGTAAATCAAACCATTTTCTTTCTTAAGTGCATAAATAACATCTGTCTTTATACATATCAATGTGCATAATCCAGTGCATAAAGAAATTAGAATGGAATTTAATAATGATGTTTAAATATAAACGTAGGCATTACAGTATTAGTTGCTTGTTTGTTGACATAGTAGTGTTACTGTGTTGGCATTAAAATGGACTAAGAGTAGGGACTTTGCCACTTGAATACATAATTCGCAACCTGCTTTTCTGACTAGCATGTGCTTCCATCTCCCTGGCTCTTCTTTTCTTCAGCACTGATTATGCTCTTGTATTTCTCGTTCCTTCATGTGCTCAGACTCCTGCATCAGCACTAATCTACAGACACCTGACTGTTATTATACTCTGTAATCAACTAGACTTCTCCGATTAGAATCTTTATTTCTCTCCACTGCCAAACTCCTCATTCAGACTTTCCTTTACAGATTGAATTGCCTTCTTAATGTCTCGGAGAGCTCTCAGGTTTCTTAGCTTTCTAGCTACAGAAATGTCTATTTTAAAATGCTCTATTGATATTGTAAATACAGACACGGTTCCAAGCATAGAGAAGTGATTTGGTGTCAGACTGTGGCTTTGGGCATCAGCTGCTGGCATTGCTCCATTTATACACTTTGCTGTATTCGGATGCTCTGCTCTATTTGTTGTCAGCGGCCACTTGGGGGCACAGCAGTGCTGTGCGGGAGGCTTGCAGAAATAAGGAGATCTGTAGTTCTCGCTGTGCTTATTCATCAGTATATGCAGCGTTTATATAGCCTCGGAGTTCTGCGGTTCTAGCCTCAACAAAATAGACCATAAAAATTATGATTGTTTTCAAATTGGTTTCCTAAACACTTCCGGTTTTCTGTTGTGAGGACTAACCACCACAGACTCTAGGCTTTCATTGGTGGTGTTACTGTTGCATGTCAGGCTGATCTAGATAATTATTAGCCTTAAAGAATATGCTTATTTCTAATTTATGTTTGATCATTTTTGTTTTATTATTGTTTTTACTGATACAGTGCTCGGCATAATTGAGTACACCCCATTTTAAAAATGAACATTTTTAGCCATTTCTCTGTGAATATAGGCAATGTATTTTGGTGAATTTAAACAAAACAGATTTATTAAACCAATATATTTATTAAAATAATATTTTAGTCACCAAATATATATATATATATATATATATATATATATATATATATATATATATATATATATATATATAAATTGAAAAATAATACATTTAAATTCAAGCAAAATATTGCGAAATAAAATACAACCTACAAAATTTTAACAAATCTTTTCAATTTTTTTTGCTTCTCTAGAATTTGTATATAATATTTTTCTATAACATAAATTGGGTCTACTAGTTTTTTACCGTTATTGTAAGTTATTTTGTGAGATTTGGCTTCAGTACTGACCTATCTAATGAATATGCACAAATATAATATTGTATGATAAATTGAATAAAGAATATGAGTTTAAAATTAGATTTATGAGGGGTGTACTTGTATATGCTAAGCACTGTATATTAACTATATATTTTTTACTAAATATAATATTTGCTATTAAAATTCTAAATGATAAATTTTACTAGGTCAATTTTAAACTGCTTTGGACAAAAGGGTCTGCTAAATTAGTAAATGTAGTAAATACAAAAACAAATTTAAATAAATAAATAAATAAATTCATTTATTTTAGAATGGTCACATGACAGTACTTCAAAACGAAGTACTTTTCTTTAGAAACTGACAATTGGCTAGTAAGGCAGATGTTTTCATTTGCTGTATTAAAAATCTAGATTAATCAGCCAAATATTGATTATTAACTCTTCTCAAGTTAAAACATTCATTATATGAAAATATGGCTTAGTCAAAAAAAGCTCTAAATGACAACATTAAAATTTGGAAGAAAAACAACAACAACAAAAAATGTGATTTATGCAATAAAACAAACAAAAACTTGATTGGGCACCTCTGCCTTAAATGGTTTATTGATAATTGAATCTGGTTTTGCTTATGAATGTTTTAATTACAGATTGCATATATCAACTTTGTAAAGTTAGAAAGATGCACACAATTTAAAAAATATATATTTTTGATAGTGATATACAAATTGACATCATTTTAAGTATTATCAACCATAATAGTTGGCAATGTTTTGAGTACAATAAGGTTCTATTTCTTAATATTAAGTTCATGTATTTACTTACACGAGCAAACAATGAACAATACTTTTATTTCAGTATTTATTTATCTTTGTTAATGTTAGTTAATAAAAATCAAGTTAAGTTCTTGTTAACCCACAGTGCAACTACTAATGTTAACTAGCACACCTTTGGATTTCAACAATGCATTAGTGTTGATTTATTAAGACGAAAAAATGTCATTTAAGTATTGTTCATTTGTTTGTGTTGTTGTTAGCAAATACACTGTAAAGAATTTACTGTATAATTTACAGTAACTTACTGGCATTTTTTGTTGACAGTAAACGTATAATTTTATAAGCACTGTAAAGAAACAATTACAAATGTGCTGTATTTTTACATTACAATTGTATATATATTTCATTACTGTGTGCTTCTAAAATTACAGTCTTACTGTCTATCAAAAATGCCAGTAAGTTACTGTAAATTTAGTAGTTATTTTTACATTGTACATTAACTAATAAAACCTTATTTTAAAGTGTGACCATGTTTTGCATATTGCAGCTCAATCATTGGCAATGTATTTGTTGTTTATTTCTTATGAAGCACTCCTATAAATAAAATCAATAGGTTCATTTTCATTTATGTTTGTTCATGTCCAGCTGTTCTTAATCATTATTATTTACAAAAGAGCATAATAACAGTGATAGTGAAACATTTTAAAGGAAGGTAAGAAACTGTCAACTCGTGCTGTCAAACAAAAATTTAATATCATACTGAAATGCAAATGTTAATTCTAATGATGATAATGATAGAAACATGCATAATGTCTTCTTAGGTAAAGATGAAAATCACATACATTTTAAATCACTCTACGGAATCACACCCCACATTTTTTGAAATATAGTAAAATAATAATAGTAGTAAAAATAATAACACTTCGGTGTATCGAGCAGCATCAGCCAGCTTTTGCTTTCACTCTTTTACATGCAGACACATTGTATTGGGGTCTGCTTGCATTCCTTAAGTAGCTCCTTGCTGAGGCAAGTGCACACAAATTGATCACTCCCCTTCCTATGGGTCAAGCCTGTAATTGCTTTCTTGCGCTGTAATTGCACAAGATTAATGCAGGTAAAGTACTGTTCTGTTTACAACGGCTGTGCTCTGATCTAAAAACAGAAAAGGGGGTCGTCCGTATGAGCTGGAAGGTGCTGCAGCGCAGAGCTAGAGAGATACATGCATCTGCTGAGGAGAAAAAAAAAAAAAGCTAAAGAAACTCAATTGCAATTTTATTGTCCGGCGTGATAGATTTCCTGCCAACTCTGGAGTAGGAGAGCTGTTTGTCACTGTAGCTCTCCTTTTCAGCTGCAGGGGTGTGTGTGTGTGTGTGGGAAAGAGAGTGGGGGGAGAGAGAGACATTGTGAGTGTGAAATAGAAAAGTGTGTGTTTGCATCTTAGAGATATACTATATGGAATTGTGTGCTTGGGCTTTAGGTCTCCTGTGTTTGAACACATTTAATATTCATTTCAAGTGGCCTTGGCAATCATTATGGGAATCCTCATAAATCCAGATGGCCTTTTGGGAACCCGCCGGTAAATAAATGCATGCTCTTGGGGAGACATACATTTAGACAAAGGTTGTTTATACAAAGTTGTTTTTGTTTGACTCTTCCGTTATTTT